GGGAAACGCGCGTGGCTCGGCAAGAAGCTGTTTACGCAAAACCGGCGAAAACTCGGGAACACACGTGCGTTCGTATCCCGCATACCATACGTGTGGGCGGCTGTGAGAATGCCCGATGATTTACAGACATGCGAACCACTACTTGTTCCCGATGTTTTTCAGCCAGCACTCCGCTGTCGTTGATTGAACCGTGGGCCATATAACAGAGAGCGTCTGCGGATTGCTTTTGTGCTTTTCTCTATTCTACGCTTGTGAAATTGTTTCTTAAAGCGCAAAAGTCATGGGATATTCTTTCTATTTCGTTGCATCGTTTTTGAGATGTTAAAATGATCGATATTATGATAATTATAAATTATTGTATTAATTTTTAGAAATTTTTAAGTGAAAATCTAAATTAGATTTACTTATTGTTAGTAAAATATTTATTAAATCGCGCGTAAGCAAAATTATATTATAATAATTTTTATTAGTTGTATTAATGTCGATAAAAAATTCTGATTATACACCAAACATATAAAATAATTAAAAACATATTGAAAAATTGTATAAAACAATATAAAGTTTTATGAGCTCTAATCTCTAAGAAATTGAAAAAGAAATTTCTATAGTAGCAACATACTTTCAAAGTATCTTGTAAAGTATCAATATCGTTAAAGTCTCGGCATATCTTGAAAGTCTTGAAACTCTTTCTAAAGATCTAAGAATTTATAGCTACATGGGAGCGCATTCAGAAAATTTCGCATTAACAGAAGATTTTCAAAACTGATAATTTTGAAAGTATCGGAAATATTGAAAAGTAAAGAGAAATCCGATTTTAAACTTTAAAAATTCTTAACACAATTTTTGCGATTATTAACTTTAAATAAAATTTAATAAGATATTTTTTATTTGCATAGCATAACATTTTTTAATAATACAAAAAAAATATATATATATATATATATATATATATATATATATATATTGTATTTCTACATTGATTTGATAACAATTAATGTTTTACCTATAACATATATGTATATTGATCATATTTAAATAAACATTGAATGATATCAGAAATATAATAATATAAAAATATAAAAATAATATAAAAATATTCTTCTTTATTATTTAAATTTTTATATAATATTTAATAATATAATTAGATGATAAATACATATTTTAGAAAGTAAAATTCATTAATACGCTATTATTTTAACTTGACTTTTACTTGATGCAAAAGATGACGTTTGAGCTCAGCATGAAATATCTTAAAAGACATTTATGAATTTCAAAATGCACATTTATCATCAGACTTAAACATACGGGCATCAGAGTTGCTGCTTTGACTTATAGTGATTTGGTTCTCAAATTGGAATGTGAGAATGCCTAACTAAAAGAAGAAAAATTGTTTACATTATAAAAGATTTATTTTTATACTCGTTTATTTAATATATTAAAGTACAATTCTAATAAAAAATAAAATATTTGTATATATTCTGTTTTTTATATTTTATTTTTATATTAATTTATGCTATTATAACAATTTGTGTATTAAAACTGCCAATAATTATTGAAATATCAAACAAAATTACATTCAAACGTTTAGGAATCTCTGTTCTTTGTGGTAAAACTATTTCCAATTTTCCAAAGTACCCTTGCACGCGTTGCAACTCAACGCAATCTGTACGTAAGCAGCGCGGCTTCAGCATTAAATGGTCATTTCTTTCTCTTTTCACAGCGCTATACCCATCAAACCACATTCCTCGAGAAAGTTGCAGCGTGCATCATATGTGGCCAAGCAGTAGTACACGTCGGGATTATCTGCGAGCACGTTAATGAAAAGACGTCGTCCGTCCGTTCACAAATTCAGCAGACGCTGCGATGAGGCCGGCAGGAAGGATGACGTTTTAAGAGGCGTAGAGAAACGCGCGTCGACTTCCGATGATTAATGTGACGTTATATTGTTCATTACGTACGCATAAACCACGGATATGCGGGTACCGCATTTTACAGAACATAAAGGATAGACTTTAATGAATAGTGACGAGCAAGCACACAAATGAGTTTCTGGTATAAATATCAAGATATCCTTGAACGTTGGATGTTGAAAAATGTTATCCCATCAGGATGAAAAATATTATACCTAAAATATATTTATTATTGTTGATAAATTATTAAACAAGGATCTCTTTTAATGCATGATTTTTCGTTTCAAGAAAAATTCTTTTTGCGCACTGAGAAAAAATCTGCTTGCATAAATTAGAATTCTGGTAGATTCAACCAGTATGTCTGTTGGAAAATAGACGAATCAAAATTCTTGTAGGAATTACCAGATGAATCTGATTAATTTCTTTCTGTTAAATTTACCAAATTTTTTGATTAATAATAAACTCGCCAGCACCAAGTCGTCTAAAATTTTTTCCATCTAATCAGGCTCAAAAGCCTGTTTAATATTCTGAATTCCAACAAGATTATTGGATAAATTCAATCCAGATTATTGAATAAATTATTTTAAATTAAGCTTGTTAGAAATTAAACTGATAAACAGTGAAGAAGAGGATGCAGCTCAAACACACACAATCAGAGAGCTGGCGTCCTTTTTCTGGCACTACTGCTCGTAAGAGAAAAAAATATACTTTGGATTTAATGTTAATACTAATTCTTTATATACATTTCATGGCAAATATTGAATACGAGTTAAGTTAAGAGGGTAAGCAAAGAAATTAATGTAACAAGAAATTTTATAGATTCAACCAGAAAATACTAACCAAATCCTTATAGTAAAATCTGTTAAACGTTTTAGTTATAAAAAATTGAGTCTTATCTTGCTAGAAATCTTTGTTTGATTTAACCAAAATGCTTTCAATCATATACGTCTTGTTGGTACGATTAAACGATTTTTCTTAGTGCGTGAATAATAATGATTTATTGATAATGATTAATTTATTAGCAACGAGAATTTAATTATTATAATACTCTATTTTAACATTAGAAGTCTAATATGCTAATAAATATAATATTACAAGTCTTTACAATAATAATACACATTACGTTAATTTCAATCAAATTGATATGTATCCTTGAAAAGTTCCTCTCTTTACTCTTTGCTTTTCCATCGAGATATAAAGTCATCTTTCATTCGATGAAAAATGTTCGTGGCAGTTGCGTGCTAATCTCGACTTGATCATATTCTTCCGAGCCTTCGGTTGCAACGGGATTAAGTGTGAAAAGACTACGAAGGAATCGTGATGAAGGTAGCGAGTCTTGCCTGCCTTCGTCGGATTCAGCTTCACATACGCGTATCTTCTCGTTGCAAGTTTATCGGACGTTTCGCATATATGCAATTCTATCACATCCCTTCATTCTCGTTTTCCGCAGATCGTGGCAGAGGAGAAGGAATGTGATAAATGCTCCGACACTGACATCAGAAAAATATACTCTCGTTTCTCCAATTCCTTGGCAACCTCTTATCTCTCTGACTCGGGCCAAACTCTCCTTTTGAGAAATGGCTCGTTTAAAAAAAGCGGTCAGTCGGATTTTACGTTGGCTATTTACGTCTATTTTCGTCTTAACTATCTTAAGATTGACTGCACCGGCGACTTAAGTGCGAGTGTCGAGGATTAATACACGTTACATGAGGAAAATATATAGGGAGATACATACTTCTTGATGATAGTATAATATTTTTAATGTACATTTTTTTATACAGTGTATACAAATGCATTAGTAAGTACAGAGAAAAAAACAAGAACAAAAATAAATCATAGGTTCTCGTATCATTATTAATATGATAATGAAATCTGTCAGTTTATAAATCATTTATCGTGTTGTTGCAATGATGATGAGTAATGATTATGTGTAGTTATCCATTTTCTCTCTTGAAATCGATTATGTTCGAGATTACAAATTGCATTCTACTAAAAAATCTATTTTTTTGTAAATATTTTTTGTAAATATAAATTTTGCACACTCACAAACAATAAAGTAAAAATAAAACATTAAGTTGGCATGTGCAAATACCACGCTCTTCGAGTACATATGCCTGTAATCAAACGATATATAACAGGGTATGAAGAGCGTAGTAATTTATGTGAATATATGGACAAATCTTTGAAAAATATCGTGATACATTCTTAGAATAAGAACAACGATAATCACTTTGACGATTCATCCCCGCGAATATACATTTAATAACAACTCGATCAGTATTATTAAAATATGTTATTTCTCTATTATTAACTTGATTAAAAATTTAAATGTATGTAACATAGTAATTAAATATACATATATAAAAAATTCTTTCTTCTTATTTCAATTTTTATCGTATTTAGCATATTTAAGACATGATATAGTGAAAATGTTTAGAAATATACAGGATGTGTTGCGTTCTTCTTCTTTCAATTAAATATCTTGAAGTAGTAAATCTTAAATTAAAATACCATTTTATCATAAAATTCATAATTCTTTTTGTTTATTTGTTTCATGTACAAAAATCTACTGGTTTTTAAGTACTTATAAATCAGAATCGATAGATCGAATTGAATAAACGGGATTATATTTTTATTTTGTTATTGCAATTATATAATTAGTATGACTTGAATAAAAAAATGCACTAGAACATCCTGTATATTATAAAGGATCTCTATACAGGATGTTTTATAAGTGGTGGGAAAAATTTCAGGAATGGATTCCTCATGCTTAGAGAAGAAAAAAAAATTAATCAATATAGGTCCGGAAATGATGATTAGTCTTTAAGTTATTAAAATTTTTGTAATACAAAATTTTGTTTCAAAATTTGTTCTCGTCTTAGAAGTCCTTTTACAGGCATCAACAATGTTTTTCAAGTTCGGCAACTTTTTTTTCTTCTCTAAGCATGAGGAATCCATTCCTGAAATTTTGCCCACCACTTATGAAACACCCTGTATAAAAAATTTATATATATATATATATATATATATATATATATATATTTTTTATTTTTTTATTTTTTTTTGAGATTTATCTTCTTAAAAATCGATTTTTTTCTTTTAACAAACGGCAGTCGGAATTATATAAAATGTCGGAAATATGCAAATATAGAATATTATGAAAAACGGTGTCATATATCATAACTGAGAGAGCACCGCTTCTTTTTAATCCATTCTAAACCGTGAAATTATTCCACGAATGGTCATGTGTTTCATGGCTCCTGTATTAAGTAAAATTCGCAGTTTGCAAGTAAAATATCCCGTGTCGGACGTAACTTTTGTAAAAGTGATAAAAATATAGTCTCATTTCTTAAGTGCTGTTGCATACGTGATTATTACAGACTAGAGCGTGCCTCTAATACGAAAAGATGCAATCGCTAAATAATTTAAAAATCAAATTCACTACCGATTCCAAGAACTTGATCGCTTGAATGATCACAAGCGCGTGTAATACCAAAATAAGTATTTCTATTTTATACATATGTTGCAATCTTTCCATCATTGCATAGTAAATACGTCGCCATGCTCGATTACTGAATTCGCCCAATCTTTCCATTGTGTGATGAAGCTTAGCGTGTTCACTACATAATTTCTCTGTAAATATAAGTAGATTAATTTAATACATATTATATTAAATATAATATTAATATAATTATAATTATATATAAAAGGCTAATTTAAAAAAAATGTATTCTTTCCGATTAATTGATTATATAATAATATAATTATTTTAATGCAAACTATTTTTTTAACATACATATACATGTAAAATCATTTGCAATTGACTGTATGGCATTAACTGTATGCATTTATAAGTCTAACATACATATACATGTTTTGTAAAATCATTTGCAATTGACTATATGGCATTAACGGTATGCATTTATAAGTCTTAGAAAAATCGCATTTTTTTAATATACTAAATTCTATGTACTATTTTATTTTGATGCAACGTAATATTTTTTGTAAATTTATATTTTTCTAAAATTATTTATTCTCTTTCAAGTATACAAACATAAAAATCATATATTTAATATTAAAAATTTTAGTATTATTATATATAAATTGCATATTTAAAAATTTAAAATAATTACATTTGAAAATAGAAAAAAATCGACGTTACCTGTATTAATGTAAATTTCTTCCTCTGGTGGAGGTAAGTACTTATCCAACATAATTTCAGCAAATTCAGTAGTGTTATCGACAGTCTTTAAAATATTTATACCTGTTTCAGTCGACATAACTTTGTCTGCTTGTTGCCAACTGTAAACGCGTAAATAATGAACTTTATAATACGTAAATAAAGTCATAACTCTCACTCTTTGTTTGGTTCCCTGCTTTAGATCGATAAAAATTTTAACCGCGGGACGGATACGTTTGGATACGATAGATTTCGTGCGATTTAAAATCTGTAAAAGAAAAACTTCTATTATAGATAGTATATTATAGATAGTATATTACACACAAAAAATATATATTACCTGTTTAGGTTCTTCTTTAATTATAGGTAGCTTTACTTCAACAAAATCAATACCCTGGCATAATGTTTTATCCAGGGTATAAATTGGTTTCTCCATCAATCTAGCAATTGGCAAAGACTTTTCTATCATTGTATTCACCACACTTTCAACAGTGTCAAAAGCCCAATTTAAAAATGTGTTTGTGCCTTTTACACGTTCGTACACCTCTGTGGATTTATCCCACAAGTAATTCACACTGGGTATTTTACGTGCACGATCGACAGCTTGAATTCGGTAAAATTGATCTGGGAATTTTGTTTCCATAGTTGTCATTAAACTGAGATCTCTTTTTCATGGATAAAGAATGTTTTTTATAACCTGTAATAAAAAAATAAGATTAAAGTGTGAATAAAAAGTATTTTATTAGAGGCAGATTCACACAAAAATATAACAAGAAGCAAGAATTTCATTCCCTTTCATGAATCTGCTCCTACATGATATGCATATAATAAAAATATATCTAATATCTTCATATCTTTTATAGCCTATAAAATTTTCAATGTTTATTTGTTTTCCAAATAAAAAAAAATATGTATATATATATATATATATATACATATTTTATATATATATATATATATATATATATATAAATTTATTATATATATTATTATTATATATTATTATTATTATTATTATATATTATTATTATTATATATTATATTATTATTATATATTAATTTATTTTGTATATATATATATATATATATATATATATAAATTTTTTAATATTATAATTTCAATCTAATATAAAATATAGCAAGAAACATTATAATGTGAAAATAATAAATTTAATAAAAAAAATTTTTAATTTTTAAATTTTTTAAAATAAAATCCTCGTCTCGCGAGAAATAAGAGAAACTATAAAAAAGATGAGAATTCAAAAATTTTACTTATGTTTATTTTTATTTTTAAATTATATTTTATATAAATAATTGTTTACAAAAATATAATACATTATGCAAAGAAATATTAATTTATAAATAGAAGAACAATTTTGTCGCGCGTTTACATGTATACACTTACTGAATTGTTCCAGTCAAAATAAGATATTTCTTACTGTCAACATTGCATCATAACGCATATCATTATGACATTACTCCAAACACGATAACTTAGTAATTATTTGTCGTATAACTTTTGGAGCATCTATTGACAAATTTTATTTAAAGCTTATATAAATCAAAACTCAAGCAAGACATGCACAACGTTTGCCAAAGGAAAGAAAGAAAGACATTTAAACATAAACACGCGCATACTGAACAAAAATAATATCACGACGTGATTGGAGTACAAAGCATCAGCGAGCATCATAGAAATGCGCGCGGCTTCCTATGTCTCATTGTTGCGCGTCCGATCGATGGCAACGTGTAAGCCAGTTATAGAAACACACGTCCTCAAGATCAATGTCACGGATGCGAATTGACAGGTGGTCCGCCGACATAGCTCAACAAAGGAAACCAATCGGTTGACACTTACCTGACTAACAATCTCTGCGACTGGATGCGAGTTTCCCTTTAAGCTGCCCTATGGCTTTGTACGTTTCCCTTCTTGCCCTTCCCCCTCCCTCTCAAGCACTGCAGCTGCTGTACCTTGATCTCTGTTTCATTTTATTGCGAAATTTGTTTACTGTTGTATGCAATCGAGCGTGAGCGCACAATTATTTATACACTTTTACACAAGCGAGGTCTGTTTGCTCGCTGTCATTTTTCACCCACCCGATATCGAACTGACAATGAGATGCGGTTCTCCACGAGATCACGTCGCTGCTGTCAAGTTCCTCGATGCGGTTTCATTTCGGAGCAATCGTGTGTCGGTAAACTGACGACTGAGGCAGTCTATAAAGCATATTGATCCAACTGATCTCTTAGGATGGAATGAAGAAAATTCATTCTTTTCATTTATTGTGTTTACGAATTTGAGCTTCTTATTTAGGCGGAATTAAAAAGTAACATCAATCTTAAAAACATTATTTGATTTTTCATTATTTAAATTAACTATTATATTTGCAAAACATTTTCTGCAAAATAAGAAAAGTTAATAATTTTTAATATTTCGGTTTTGTTAATTTTAATATTATTTTAATCAAGCCTAATATATGTTAAAAAATTAAAAGTTCTGCAACTTTTGATTATTTAAAATTTTCTATCAAAGAATTAAATTCTTGTTTTTTTAACAAACACGAGTTTGATTCTTTTAAAATTTTCTTTAATCTCTCAGTTGGATTTCTTTGATGCAATATGTATTTTTTAGATTAAATAGAATGAAACATATATATTTTTTCCAAAATTATATTTTTTAGATGATATAGTGTTATATCAGAATATTCTTTACAAAATATATATCTGCCTTTATTCTTTATAAATATTTGTAACAATTCTTTAAAATGATATGTGATGTTTGTATATTATATATAATCAATAACATTAAAGAATTTTCATTTCTTGTAAGAAGAACTCCAAATCAGCAACACGTCGCTGAGATTTACATTAATATAAAAACTTTTACATAAAAATATTAGTAAAACATTAGTCAACTACCTGACTTATTATTGACCACAGAATCATGTGATTTACGTATACAATATACGAGCATTCGAAAAAGCTAACAAAGCTAGAAAATTAATGTATTTGTCGCAAAATGCCATATCGCAATATCTATAAAAATATAATTTTTTTCGTGTTTTGATATATATTTTACATTTTTAATCATTTTTTTTAAATCATTTTGAAAGAAACAGGTAAAAAATCTAAAATAAATGTTATATATAAGACATTTTCTAGATTTTTGAATAACAAAAAATTTGCAAATTTGTTATTTTATGTTTCTCTAGATATTTGAAAATCCTACGGAATGAATATAAATCGTACATTAAATTGTAATAATAGAAATTAAGCAAATTGAGCGAACTTTGAGCTTATTTCTTCTCTTCGTCCTTTTTCTCTGTTGAACTGTTTGCCTGGTTTTCATCCGTTTGCTTCTGACCAACGTTCAAAAAGTGCGTAAGATGAAGAATAGACACTACGCTGGATATATATGTCGCTACGTCTTCCTTTTTTACTGTCCTCAATTGCGCAGCAACGGAATGATAAACGCGATTAGCAGTTTTTGTCGACAATTGACCGATTGTTTGTACCGCGTGAAGCACTTTATTTTCATCTGCTGAGATTGGATCTGCAAAATAATCGTTATTAAGAACATTACCGGTCTAATACAATGCAAGAAAGTTTGTAAAATTTCTGAGAACGTACTTGGCGTATTTTCTTCTCCTTCTACCGGTGGAAAGTAATGATCTAATAAACGATTGACAAGTACACTGGTGTTGTCAATGCCTTGTACAGCCATGTTACCGCATTGTGTGTTTAGAAGCTCGTTCGCCTTAGTTATACTGATCTCCTTCAGCGTAGATGCCTGTTGTGTAGCTGATTCCTTTGCCGTGTTCAATTTCTCGATGGTTGGTTGCAAGGAGCTGTTCATTACTGCCTTTGCGGCATCATAAATCTGCAAATATAAATGTCATATTTTTAATAATTGATTTCATGATTAATTAAACAAATATGTGAATGAATTAAGAATTCTTTTGTATATTAATTATTTCTAATTTTACTACATTCGTCTATTTATTTTTATATTCTCTTTTTTTATTATTTTTTTCGGAGAAAGATATTTAAAAAAATATTAACGATAAAATTATATTCTATTATATTAAAAAAAAAGAGATTATTTTAAAATAAATATTAAAATATTATAGTGTAAATTCTTTAAACTCATTTATACAGCTGCCAAACGACGTTACATCATTTGAGAATTAAAAGAAAGGACAGGTTTCCTTTAACGTTACCTGCTGAGGTGGTTTCTTCACGATCGGAACTTTTTGTTCGACAATGTTTAACCCCTCGCATAGCTTCTGGTCGACGGCGTTGATTTGTCCTTCGAATTTCTTGGCCAGAGGGGCCGTAAACGGCACTGCTGTGGCAGTTGCATAATGCAATCCTGCTTCGGCAGAGCTCAACGCCCAATTTATCAGATGATGGGAATCTTTAACGTAAGCATACGTAGAGCCCGTTTTCTCGATCGCCGAATGAACCACCGGAATATTTTTCACCCGGTCTATTACCTCAAGATGAGGAGTATTCGCGGGATTTGGTGTGGATTTACTTGCATCCGCCATTCTCTCTGCAAAATTATTAATATATCAAATTAGTATTTAGATTGCTGCTTTAAAAATTGGTATATATCAAATTTGTGAATTTTGTTGAAAAGGCTTACATTAAATTATATTCGCTGATCTAATGTGTACGAAAAGAGTTTTAAAAATCGTGCAGCCTTTTAAAATAACATTTAAAAATTTGATTTGCCATTTTTCTAATACACATATATAATTGAGTCAATAACAATAAAGTGACATAAAAATTATAATATGTGAAATTATAATATGTAACGAAATTATATTGCAATGCAAATCTAAATTAAATAGCATATGGTTTATATTTCTTTTTAATTTTAAGTAAACAGTTTTAAATAACGATAATTATATTTGTCATGCACAAACACATTTGAACATTTTAAATGTAAATGCGCATGAGTGGGCAGAGATCTTCGTACCTTCGGTAATTGATGAGTCAAACTTGTTATTTCGTTATCTAGTTTGTGAGTTTATAAATGAACTTTGATACCGATAATAACCCATTTACTTCATTTTTTATATATCTATATGATATGCGATCGGCAAATTAATAAAAAAAAGAGAAACCACAATCGATGCACAGAAAGTCCATTGCGATATATATTATATAAATATATATATATATATATATATATATATATATATATTCAGTGTTTCATAGACATTTATTGACATGCATGTGCGAAACAATGTCTCAAAAAGAAATTGCACAGTGTCGGAAAGAAAAATTATTATAAATAAAAGTGCGAATTTTATTATGCGAAACTAATGTACTCAACTCGTCATGAGATTATACGCATGGTACATGATTCATCCGCTAGAACAAACGAGAAAATAATAAAGCACTATTATTCCTCATTTATATTGTATTGCTACTGTAGCATAAGACATAGCAGCAGACCATTCTTTGAAAGTAAATATGTTTTCCACACTTGAGCAGCGCACATATTTCTTGATTATTCAAAATATGTTTGTCCAAGGAAAAAAGCTTTGTTTACATACTTTTTATAATAAATTTATATTTATATATTTTTTTAATTTTAATTTCATTAATTTAAAATTTAATTTTACGAATTCTTTTTCCTTCTTATAATATTATCTTGATAAATTATACATATAAATAAAATTATATTAAATTAAATATTTTTTTATTTTAACGTATACACGCTATGTATTATCGAAAAAATTTGTACAATTTTTCATGTAACTTATATGCACGGAATTAATGAACACATATACACGTTTGAGGTAGATGCAATTTTATTTACACAATAGATAATCATTCCCGGGGATATGCATGGCTTATCTGCAATATTGATTTAAATGATAATTTTATATCCAAGGACAGAATCAATATTGCATACAAACTTCCTCTTAGAGAAAAGATTATATTGATGTCTGTTGTAAAATATTCATCATCTTAGATCAAGCTATAACGTATGATACACATTACTTATAACGGATGCGATCAATGAAATATTACACATTAATGTGTATAATAAAGAATAATATAATTATATTAGGATCTTTACTATCCATTTAAAATACAATAAAAATTATATTTGTTAATATAATTAATATTTTTAATTGTTGCTCCATTCATTAAATTAAATTAATTAACGTAGAATCATTTATTCGTAATCACAACAATAATACAAAAAAATAATAAGATATAACATATTGGATGATATGATGTAATAATAACATCATTTTCTTATAGTGAAATAGATTGTTTAGAATATTGTTATATGGAAAAATAGTTTTACAATGCAGCGCATATATATTCTATACCTTCTAAATTTTTAAATATCAGTATCAATACTACTGCTTTCACGTTTTATTTTATATTATACTTACTTTATGGATGACTTGTTGAACAAATTCGTTGGACACTAAAAATCAGCTATGAATCACCGAGTTGCACGAGGCATCGAATGAGACTGACGTTATATCGTGTGAGAACTCGTAAGTATCTAACAATGAGAATATTAGGTAGAGGGGACTGAACAGTGACGTCGAAATCAAATGTCTCTTGAAAATAAAAGTAATAGTAAAAATTATTTTATGTTCTTTTTAATTTTCTTACCTTTAGTTTTTTATTAAGTTTTCATAAAAATTTATAAATTATAAAAAAATATTATTATAGAATAATATTGGGTTCCAATTTTAATATAAAAATTTTTTATATTAACAAAAAATTTTATGTTTATTAAATCGCCACTTATTATAAAATAAAAATATAAATAAGTAATAATACTCTAAATGTTCATATATTTATTATAATCTTCTTTCTAATTATTCTCTTATTAGCAACAAATTGTTAAAAGTTTAATATTTTATTAATATATAATATTGCGTATATATAAAAATTTTTATTTTTCAATAATAAAGTAACAAGAGAAAAAGCATATATAAGTATATACAGTGCAAATATTTCCAAGCAACATTAAAAAATTAATGAAAAAATTTGTGTCCTATAAAGGATTCAAATTATAGAGATAAGACTTTTGTTATAATTCCAATAAATACAAATATTAAAAATTTAAAAAAAAACAAATACATCATCATTTTTATTGTAATATTTAGGATTTTTTAATTATATTTTATGTAGTATTTTCTCTTTTTAATTATTTTTGTTATTTAATTATCTGAAATTTTTGTTAGTAAATATGTAATTATATAATTTCAGTGTTAAATAAGATGTTTATTAAAATAAGAAAAATTCTCTCTTTTCGAAAAATTATTTAAGTCTTTTTTTATAGTACAAACTATATATATATATATATATATATATATATATATAATAGTATAATTAATTATGTATATATATTATATCATATTGCTTGCTATTCGATTTTATTAGACAATTTTAATTGATTTCATGTACTTTTATAGTCGGGTTCTACGTAGCATATGTACGTCTATGATATCATTTGTGCTTCTGCGCAGTAAGAAGAAACGTGCAGCAATATACATGACGTGGCGGTCACACTCTTACTTACATTCTATACGTGTGAAAACCAAAGTGAATAGCTGATTGCGTTGACCCTAAAAATAATAAGCGAAAATCATGAGACTGTTCAATGTGCAAGTCTGACGCAATTTTTTCTTTTAATGTTGCTAGAAAATATTTGCATTATCATATATACGCTTTTCTTTTATTAACTTATTAATAAAACAGAAATTTTATCATACGCAATAATGTATATTCTTAAAATATTAAATGTTTAACAATTTATTGTTAATGAGAGAATTATATTATAATAAATATATAAATGTTTAAAATGTTTTATTGTACCTATTTATATTTTTATCATGTAAGAAGAAATAATTCAAATTATAGAGCTTTTTGTTATAATTCTAATAATTAAAAGAATTAGAAGATTAAAGAAAATAATAAAAAGTAAAATATAAATATTCTCTGTCTTAAATATTGTATTTATTTTTTCGGAATTTAAATTAATTCAGATTCAAAAAATAAAAAACAAATGCTTTGTTATTAAAATAATTTAAATACAGTAATAATAATAATAATAATAATAATAATAATAATAATAATAATAACAATAATAATAATAATAATAATAAAATTATAATTATATCTTTGTAGAATAAATGTATAATTGATTAAGAATGTCAAGAAGCATATAATTTTTACTGCATTTTTACATTTATTTGACATATATATAATATTTTTAAATACAATATATAAAATTAATATACAAAATTAATATACAAAATATGTATTTATATTTATAAAAGTTTTTATATATTCTTTATATACTCTATATATATTCTTATAACATTATGCAAAGTAATAACAGTTGTGTAAATTTTTTGAATAATAATTAAAAAAAAAATCATGTAGTAATTTAAGCAACTCAGTATATCTGAATGTATATCAGTATATCCGGCTGAACCATTCTGTATATATAATATTAATATTATTCTGTGTATATAATATTATGTTTATAATATATATATATGTATATAATATATGTATATATGTATATATGTATATACATATATATATAATAGATTAATGAAATATTTAAAAATGTATAAAATATAGTTATATTTATACATCAAAATTCAAATATAATAATAATTATCTGAATATTTCTTAACTACTTAATTTTGTATTGATTAAGCTGATGAATAACGTAAAAAATATATATTTTAATTAATATTAATGGTAACCACCACAAAAGTTTATATATCTTATAGATATTAATATCTTATAGATTATAAGAGATTATTTTTTCATACTGCATATACACGAGTAAAGAATATATACAAAATATATAAAAAAAAATTTATCTATAACCTCATACTTCTTATAGTTATATTTTTTTCGACTTTTATATTTATGGAGTAATGTAGAAAAATGTGCACGCATTAACAATTATTGATGCAGATTTTAGCACTTTAATCGCTTTCAATGAAGGAATAGCAAATAAAATATATTGCCATACATTAATTCAATTTTTAATGATACAAACTAATTGTAGAAGATAATAAAAACATTGTAGAAGATAATAAAAACATAATTATGAAAAATAAATATAAGCGATATTTAATTTTAATATACATAAGTATAAACGAAACTAATTTTTAGGACTTTAAAAATCATTTACAGAAAAGCTGAAAAAAATAAAATCAAAGAGATTTAAAATTAAAATTATTCATTCTTCTGTTTTTCTTGTGATTCTTCTTTTTTTTTGTCGTTAACAAGCAGTATTTTTTTGTCAACTGTGTTGAGATACTTGGTAAATCGAAGAAATTTAACTAAATTGCTGATATAATCTATTAATAAACTATATTTGTTGATGATATTCAAGTGATGTATTATGTTAAAATACACACGTCGAGCGGCTTTATTGGACAAGTGACCTAATGTTTGTAAAGTACGTAACAATTTATCCTCTTCTTGTAAGTCTGCAAAAAATATTTAAAAATAAAGGTAATATATATATATGTGTGTGTGTGTGTGTGTGTATGTATATATATAATATAAAACTTCTAGATACTAGAAAATATGCCAGTTTTGCAATAAATTCAAATTTCGATGTTAATTATAAAACGGGAAAATAAAGACTTGTTGTAATGTAAAAATTTGCTAATGTAAAAAACCTATTGTTGAAGCACAAGACAATTTATGTATGAAAAAATTAATATTAAACTTTAATTAGAATAAAAAACACAAAAGCATAATAAATAATAAATTACAAAACAACTATAAATTCTTAATGTTGTGTTAGCTTTCACTAACTTTCTCGCTGACGCACGAAAACTTTCATTACACTATATTTTTTTTATTGATTGTAATATTGATATATTGAGATTGTAACATTTTAGTACATCAAGAAAAGAGGAATTCAATTAATTTGCACTTACAATGTATTATTCGATATAATCTAGATAAATTTTTGTTTTAAATTATCGAGAAACTAAAAATATACATGGTTTACCTTGCTTAATTTCTTCTTGTTTTGCGGGGAAAAATTTGTCAATGAGCTTATCAATGATAGCAGCCGTGCTATCTAAACCTCTCACAGCCGCACTGCCATAATGCGTATCGAGAATTTGGTTGGTTTTATTCCAGCTGATGTCTCGCACAGTTGTTGCTTGTATGATAATTAAATCATTTATATGCGAAATACTCAATGTCGCTTTTTTCAAGATCTAAAGAAATATAGTGAATATAAATATAAATAGTACACATTTCACTTTTGTGATGGTGTTTCGAAAAAAAACTGTTTAAATATGTTAAAATTATGTATTTAGACGAATAAATATTTAAATAAATTAAAATTCATACCACTTCAGGTTTTTCCTTCACTATCGGTATATTTTGTTCAATCTTGTCGAGACCAAAACATAATGTGTAATCGACGAAGTTTATAGGACTTTCAAGCATCTTTGCTATAGGCACGGCTATAGGCATCATAAATGCTGCTGGTTTTGACGCGACGTTAAGTGACATCTCAGCAAAGGTGAATGCCCAGTGCACTAGCTGATTCGAATCTTTTACCCTGGAATAAGTCTCTACGGATTTGACGAGTACCAATTCAACAGTAGGTAATTCCAAGACACGATCAAAGGCCTTTAAATGAAGAAGTTGCGCTATTTCTGTCGCCATGCTTTAGCACAGTTATCACACGATATACGAAAAATATCTGTTTAAACAAATTTTATAAAAGTGATTTAACATATTGATCATAATTCGAGAAAATGTTTAAGATTAATATTTTAGTTTAAAATTAATATCATAGAAATATAAAGCATGTGTATGCAGTAACTCATTTTAGAGTAAATTAAATCTTTTTTTTAAATCGAGTAAATATGACTATTTTACAAAGTAAAATGTTTCTTTATAAAGAGAAGGAATTGAAAGATAAGTAAATTGAAATATTAATATAGAAACATTTTTGAATATATATATATATATATATATATATATATATATATATATATAACATAATATTTTCGAATTCGACACAATATCCTTGACCTAGATCAATAAGCTCTAGATACATCCATTGTGACTGTAAATTGATGACCATGAATATACATTATATATATATATATAATTATTTTGAATTACTTTATCAAGTTTAACATTGTGATAATTAAATGCATAATAATAAAGTGACATGATATACGTAACTGTTCATAAATAACGTACGAATTTTTCAATAATATATAAAAACACATAATTAAAAAACACAATTTTTCTCATATATTTTAATTGAAAATTTTTCATAAATCTAATTATAAGGATTTATTATATAGAATTGTTTCTACTGTCCAGAAATAAGTTTTGATAATTGAAAGTATTAAAGGTCACTATTGCTAAAAATAGTACTTACCGTTTCAAATAATCGCTACCTCGATCAGAGTGATAGTTCACCGGCGTCTTGAACGCGTCTGATACTGGAATACGAATGCTGCCGTTGGTCACGTATGGTGAATGGCTTATGATGTGGAGAATCGCTTGCGCAGTAAACACTGTTTGAATGAGCCAATAACTGACTGAGCAAAGTACGACATGTAACTGCCTCTTCCAGATAGAAAATTTCATTAGATTGCATATGATAGAGAATTTCTCATTAGATCAGATTATTAATACTTTTCTGAAGCCTTCAAATATGCTAGCATTCTCTTTCGAGAAAGCGAAAACCGTTTCTAAAGGATAATGAAAAAAAAATTGTGGTGCGTTTTTTATTTTATTACGATAATAAAATTTTTTCTTTGTTGATAAACTCCAATTTCTATTATTGATTAATAATATGTTATTAATATGTGATTAATAATATGTTATGTTATGTATGATTAATAATATGTTAACTACACATATGATATTTTAAACAAAAAATAATATAGATATTTTTAATAAAGTTTTTGAAGTTTCCTTTATTTAAAAATCTTTAATTATTTTTACATTTAAAGATCTTCAATTATTTTTACATATTTATAGCATTCAGTCTCAACTTATAATTGTATTCAATTGCATCATTTGATCGTGGCTAGATAATATATCACTTTTTTTAGAAGAAGTAGAATATATGTTTTATAATATGTATTTTATCTATATTTAAAATTAATTAATAAAATATTAATATATATGTACTTATATGTTTTATATGTATTATATCTGTATTTAAAATTAATTAATAAGATATTAATATCAATTCACTTAAATCAATATAAAATATAATTTTTAATAATCAACCAAAAGATATATCTTAACACATCTTATAATTCTTGCGCGCATAAGTTATGAATTATAATGAGCAGTTATGAATTATAATGAGCAGTATGTAAGAAATAATTGATGTATCTTTAAATTATAATAATTGATGTATCTTATGAAATAATGGAAATATTTCCGCTTTATGGTTTTCCTTACTTCCGTGTAATATGCATTATATTTCCATGTATAAAATGAGGAGAGAACAAAGTTTCTCAGCGCGTCCCAGTCACCTATGCATCTGTGCAAAGTCCGGTTCATCTACATCGTTAGATCATGCCTGTGTTATCTAGCGATTGCATGGCACATAAAATGTTTCAAAATTATCAGAAAAATTTACATCCGGATTTCACTAAGACTACATTGTCTTGACGTAAAAAATATTCTCTTTTAAAGGTTTAAATCGCAAAAATCTGAAATATTTTATTTTGAAAATTATAATTTTATTTTTTTATTGATGCAATCATGAATGTATACAATATTACGCAATATAAAATTAGAAATAATATTACTTCTAATACACATAATTATTAGAATAAAACTATAAGCCAGTACTTGAAAAATTTGTATTAAAAAAGTCACTTGAATATCATCATTTGAGTTTCAAATGACATTTCACATAATCTGAATTAAAAATTGATTTAAGAATTAAGAAAATGTGTGAAAATACATATTATTTTTATATAAATTTTATATAAATTTTAATATTTATATATATTTCTTTTATTGTGCTTTCCATGATAATAATAATTATTATAACGTCAATTTAGTCATAATATTTTAATCATAATATTTAATTATATTTTTTAATTATAATATAATATAATTAATAAATTTTATCAGAATATAATTTTCTTAAATTATAAAACACATATACAATTTAATGTAAAAAAAATAATCAGTAAACTGAAAGTATCATTAATTCTAATTTATTAATTTTTTGTATTATTATTATATTATTATTAAACTATAGTCATAATTTATCTGAGTAACCAATTCAAGGTTAAATATTTGTCATCAGGATTTCACGCGCGTAAGTTGATTACGAGAATAATGACGATTTAATTAAATTAAATTGTCATTATTCTCGTAATCAACTTTGTCGATTAAATTCCAAAGTTTATAAACATTTTGTCTAGACAGTATGATTTATATAGATAAGCTTTTGCGTAATACATCAAGAATTGCAAATATAATACATCTCATACGTCTATTTTAATCGTCTATTTTAATTTAGATTTAGGTCATTCTTTCGAGAATCATGCATTTTCGTTGTGTATTAATGTAAATGTGTGTAATATAAACTATATAAAATAAATGTTATTATAAATATAGAATATTACAAGTATTATTTAATTAGCACATGGGACATTTTTTAATATATGCACATATTTTATAATATTTTATAGCACTTTATAACTTTAAAAAATCTTAAAATATTAAGGAAAGAAATATTATTTTATATACATATACGCGTATATAAAAATCTCTCTTCAAAACATATTCTACGCTGTCAGGGATATCGGAGCATTTAAATATGAGATATGCATATTATTATTACAATGTAACATAAATATATACTCATATTTTGTATATAATATGTGCATACTTTTAATATTGGTACAATATTATTTAGATGAAATATTAATGATATTTAATCAAAAAATCGTAAAAAACAAATATTACTTTCTAAAATTAATATATGTCAATATAATACTTGTAATAGTAGTAATTAATTAAAACACAATTGACATTTTGATTTATACTCGGCAAATGAAATGTCAATTGTGTTTTAATTAAATACTGTTATTACAATTATTATGTTGACATACATTAATAAAGGAATGTGTTAATATATAAATGTATATATCAGAGTATGTACACACAACATGTATTTTCCATATATTTTTCATATATAATATGTGCTTAAATTCATGTGTTAAGGCATTGCTGTTTTTTTGTCATTCGAGTGTACATCGAAAGTATGTATTTACAAGTTGCTTGAACAAGAGGAAAATCGAGATAAAAATTCTACAACTGCTTAAGATTTCTCTACTTTCACTAGAAAGGAATCTAAAGAGTAGTGAAAACCGCGAGATATACTAATATGTATGTATGTGTATGTGTATGTAAATATCTCGACCCTGAATGTCAAAGTCCATGATTTAAATAATATGCAAAAAATAATCGACGCGTATTATCTGTATTCAAATCATGTGAGTAATTGTAATTGTAATTTGATAATTATTGCCTACTTTTTTAATATTATATTTAATTGAATAAGATAAAAAAAATAAAAGATATTTATATAATGATAGATAGAAATGTATATAAATTTTATTGTATTTTATGTATATAAATTTAATTATATATGTATATAAATTTTCTAAAAAATAATTTTATAAGAAATTAAAATCTAAAATCTTGGATGTATATTTAATTAAATTTTTATTTATTTATATTTGAATAAAGAATTATTTTTTATCTTAAATGTTTGAAAGAATAAATAAGAAGGAAAAAAGAGGCAGCCTGCCATTACGATTAATTAAAACGGATCTTTATTTCATTACTTGTATGTAATTATCGTGGAAGCAACAAAATAATGTTTAATTAAAAAAGCACAGTATAAGCACGGCACGGATACATTGTGCTAGTGATAAGATATATTTGTTTGGATTATTGAGTATAAACATGTAAAAGTCTCGTAAAGATAATGATGTAACGATCGATGAAACATTAATCAGCGGGCAGCAGCTCACGCGCGGCGTGATTTCTATTCACGTGTCTTTAACCTTGTAATTGAAAACCATACCGGAAGGGAAGAAAGCCGCACGTAGCAGTTTTCAGGCGAGACTCGTTCGTTACTCGATACCATTTACTGGGGGATTGGAAGACACTGACATATGGTTGCTGTAGTTCTGCTGGTTTTGTACGTGTGGTACCTTCTGAGGGCTAGGACGACCAGCCAAGAGCACAGCAAATTTTTCCTACAAGGGTAGAGAGAAAATTTGTCTATATCGAGAATTCATTTTATATGTATACATTAAATGTGTACAGGAAATTTTAAATACTTATAACAATATATTAATATTATATTTATAATAATATTAATAAAATAATATTAATAAAATAAATTAATCAAAAATTTATATTATATATATTTATATTATATTAATATATTAATATTATACAATTAGTATGTACGTACCAATAGTAAACTCGCAGTTGCGTTCAACTTCTCAATAGCAGAATGTATAACGGATATTTGTTCTTTCGCTGTTTCTTTGCTTTTATTTATAAGTGGTGTCATCTAAAAATTCACATGCATGATATAAAAGTACTTTAGTTAAGGTATACTGCACTAAGATACTTAATAGAGGTATTTTATTAAAGTGTGCATCATTTTTATTACGATTAGTTCAAGAAGTATGCGATCGCGAGATACAATAACACAACTTCTTTTTGTGCACATCAAAATTATTGCATTTTATAAATGATTGAGTTAACTCAAATGCATTGATTTCAAATGAATTGAATTAATGTGAAATTGATGTAACCTTTAACGAGGCATCGGCGACAATAAGCAGTTGATGGGAAAGCCGAGCAAGTAGACGACCTAAACGTCGTGGGGTTTTAACCGCCAACGCCGTCGTGCCATTCACTAGATGCACTATGCGTCGTGCGGATTCACGTGTCAGAAGTACTAGCAATTGTTCGAGCGTGGCTGGACGTGCCTGATTTTCGGGCTCAGATAGACTCAATGTGGCCCATAACGCCTTGGCCTTTTTTAGCGCTAATTTTGGATCTGTGGCTATCTACGCATATTACGACTGTTATTCAATATGCATATAGATAATTTACGATAAGTGGGTGCACGTCTCGCGGGAGCGATATGTATTACATAGATATGTAGGAGCAAGATCAGGAGAACACAGTAATCACAGTACAGAAAAATATTTCCGACGAGACAAGTTCCAGATAATAAATATTTAATGATGTAAATATTTACTATATGTGATCACTGGATGTTTTCGTGATCTCGGTTATATGTCTATTTCAATAAGTTTATCTATCAAAGCGTACTTTTATTCAAATTTTAGAAAATTATTTCTGATTTTTACGATTAGAAAGAACATGCAAGGCAGAATTTCTGAATATTACAGAATTTTATTTTTTTAAACGCATAATTTTATTGTTTGTGTGTATACGTATTTGTAATCATATAGTATATTAAAATATTTTTTTTTATCTAGAATCAAAATATTCTAAACACATCATAGGAAAGGAAATTTATCTTAATTAAAAAGTTATCAAACATGTTATATATTTATAATTTCTTTTTCGGGCACAGAACGCATCAATAGATGAATCACTTATTTAATCAACGTTTTCGTTTTTAAATTAACTGTCGCGGAAATATTTTTACGAATCAGCAATTTGTTTAGCATAAATAATATTTTTCTTATCGCAGTTGTGATAAATATATATGATTAAAGTTTAAATATACTGTTAAAAAACGAAAAAGAGTTTCTATGCAATATAATGCACGTAATAATGTGTAATTATAACGATTACCAAATGTATAGTATTTAGATATGTAAATAACGAAATTTCTCTAATTATTTCTAATTATTTTTAATTATTATGTGAATAGACAAATTATAAATTGATTAATGAAATGTCGAGTCTTACCAATTCTACCACATATAAAAGCACATGAATGCATTCTGTTCCTTGTTCTTTAAGCGCACGTGCTTCGGCCAAAGTGCGTTGCGTTAATCTCTTTTGTAATTTACGCGAAAATCTTGCGCCATGTTTGATAGTTCGTGTCGTTTTGCTTACTGATTCAGTAGGACCGACCTCTGAAAAATAAATTGTTGAAACATTTATTAAATGTGCTAATTAATTAATAAATTGTAATATAATACTATCGTTATATATTGTTCAGTTCTCTGCAATACGCGAGTGCAAAACGCAATGAAAAATATATCTAAAAAAAATATAATATATTATAATATATTTAAGATATATTAAATATAATATATTAAATATATATTATAATATTATAATACATGTATAAAATTTCACAGAATTTTATGGCAATCTATTTAGGCTTATTATCGGCGTATGCAAAAATCTTACCATCTATGATTTTATCAGCTGGATCTCCCGGCAAATAACGATCCACGTACTTGTCCGCAACTGTCAGCACACCATCCAATTGATCCGCGGCGACGTTGGCAGCTTGACTACCAATTTGTTTGACACTTCCGGCACGATTTAGAACCGGTTTTACAATGTTCTCATTTACATATTCTCGCGTGTTCAAATACATCTTAAACGTGAAATATAAAAAAAAAAACACGTGCTGTATTAATAATTTGATAATTCAATCAAAATTAATCAACAGAATAATTAATCATTTCCTTAACTCGCTAACTCTTGCGAAATCTATTGCAGAACCCTTATTTATTTACTTACTTTTATTGATATAATTAAATACATATACAATTTTTATTTCTATTTATTTCTTAAAATATCTTTTGTTCAAAATTAATATTTACAAGTTTATGTACATTAATAACAATATCATAAATAAATAAGTTAATAAATATTGCTATAAATATATATATATATATATATATATATATATATATATACATATACATATATATATCAACACATATATAATTGCGTAGGGGAGACCGGGAATCAAAGTAACATTTTTTAACATTATTATAAGTCACTAATTAATTATCGTTAGAGATATAAAAAAAAGATTATATGTTAAAAAACTCTATTTATTGCTCTATTATTATACCTATGTTTCAATCTCAAATGATAGATATTTAAAGAGCTACTACAACTTTTCGCAAGTACGTTGATTGTTTTTGTTGATTACTTTTATCCTGGGGGCCTGGAACGAAAGTAATATAGTCTGGGGATAAAAGTATCAGTTCTTATTTTCGGGAAAATAAAATAAATATGACTTTTTTCAATTTAAGGCAATTTTTATTATAATCTTTTATTAAGCAAAATAACTTTTATTAAATTTTTTTTGTGTATTATATTAAAATAAAATAAATATTTATTTTTATCGTCTTTAAAAAACTTGAAAGAAATAATCTTCGTTAAGCAAAATAATTATAAGTAATATCATAAAATAATTATACTTAATATCCCACCAGTTTTGTACTATTTTAAGTCTAAATAATAGTTTAATTCTAAATAATAATGTAAAAATTATATGATAACTACTTATACAAAAGAGATTGGTATCTATTCCGAATCACAATTATGGCGTACGTAATAAAAATCGCCTTTTTACAGTTATTATGGGACCAGCCCTTATTCTTTAAGCATTGAAACATGTTACTTTCGTCCATAGAGTGTCGTGTTACTTTTGTCCCCAAACACATTTTTCAGAATAAAAGCATTATACCTAAATACTTAGCCAAATCAACTATAAAAACTTATAAATATATTTTAGAAGAATACACCGGCAAATAATTACGTCAATATAAAACACTTTAATTAGGCAGATACAAAAAAACTAAAACAAAAAGTACTTAGGTGAATAATGCAAAAACACTAATTTCACTCCTGCATGTGTAACTGACGCGACCGTTCTACAACAATTAGCTGAAAAGGAAGAGAATCGGGGCGTACGCGTTTTTTTTTATATAGTACAAATTACCCAACATATTATGTAGTTTATTACGAGGCTTGTTCTTTCATCACGCTTTACTTTTGTTCCCCGGTCTCCCCTATATATCTGTATGCCTCCAGAAATGTATATACCTATATGCATATCAAAAAAATATTATATACAAACAGAAATTTGGAAACTTACAAGATGAGGAGGAAGATGTACAGCTGGTACTCTTTGTTCAACAATATCGATACCTTTGCACAATAGCTGATCGATTGACGTAATTGGTCCATTGAACGCGAAAATCGCTGGTCTTGCCGTCGTCGTTGCAATCGCTAATGACTGCTCCGCAGTATCTAAGCTCCAGTTCATTAAAGAATTTGAACGCTATAATAAAAGAAATGGTGCTCTAGTCAAGTTGGAATAAAGATATTTTATATTAGGATATTTAAAAGATATTTAATTTAATATTATTTGTATTTTATTTATAACTTATATTTTATTAATATAATGTAATTTTTCTATGAAAAAAGTTTTGTACAATTGTTATATCTTCAAAAGCGAGATTTATCAGTTTTTTAATGACAAATGATTTCCTTATAACATGTAATATAATTTTTATTACCTTTATTTTTCTATACACATTACCAGCAATATATATACCACTTTCTACAATAGGAAGACTCGAAATTCTGACAACAGATTCAAATTGCGGCAAATCCGAATGCCGTCTTCTCATGTCTACTCGTGCCATATTATAATTACTGCAAATTAACAATTAATAAGTTAAATTAGTGCTAATTTATAGTTAAATTGATAAACAAGCGCAGAAAATATAATTAGCATACAATTCATTTTATGCGTGTGTTATTCATACGTTTCAATTGTTATTTGTTATTTGTGTTTATTTTGTTGTTTATTATATATATATATATATATATATATATATATAAATATATAAAAGATTTATTATAATAATTTTTTATAATTAACATCTATTAAGCAATTTTTAATTACCTACATAAAAAATGCTTAAGACTATTTCTTAATATTTTTCTTACTTTTTCAGTCATTATAAAGTTATATATAAATGTCGTTATTATATTTCATTTTATTTTTAATGAATGTTATTAAGAAATATAATATTGAATTTGTTCAAATAATACCTCAATTTTTTGAAAACACTATTTCTAATATACTCTTTTAATTAAAAAACTATCAAAATATATTATTATTTTAATGATGATCTTTTTACATATTGTATTATAAACTGGAGAGAAGTATGTCACAATTTTCTATATTTTTTAAAAACAATGAAATTAAACAAAAATTATTTTTATAGATTATTAATTTATCCAATATTCGAAATTACACAAATTATATTTCATCAAATTACACAATCTTGTTCCATATTAGATCCTCATTGACAGCACATATTTAAATAACAATTGGCATCACGAAAAAGAGCAACAATAAACTTTGATATTTTTGAACAACATGCTTCTTTTACAAGTAAATAATTAATCATGAAATTCATATGATCTAAATTATATCAAATTATATCAAATTTAAAACTGATTCCTTCTACATACATTCATACACAATATATTTCTCTTTCTATTCAATTTCTGTTCAATACATTTAATTTATGCTGGTGTTTCGATAAAAAATAATTTTATTTTTTTTCCCTTAATTATAAATTTCATATTTACGGGCTAATATTATTGCGATTAATAAAGAATGGATTATATTGCTAAAACATTAGTTGGAAAAAAACATGTGTTTTGTATAAACATAAATTATGACTTAAATGTAAATGGAATTATACGTTCTTTAAAAAAAAATCGGTTGACATCGAAGAACAGATAAGAGAGATCATGCTGAGAAGGGGATAGTAAAAGGAGATTTTATTTCGCAATTAATATCGAGGCTTTACATTTCTCGATTGCGAGCATCAAATCTCTTAATTAAATTAAATGCCGAATTAAAATGATGAATTGAAACAATTTGACAAGTAGACTGTAGATGGGCTTGGCAATAAGATGTAAAAATAAATTCGTTAAATTGATTAGCAAGAGTCACTCGAAACTTTCAGTGTGTAAGGAATTACTTTCACCTATAGTTTATTATAGCTATTTGAGAATGATAAATGTCTGAAAGAAGAAACTATCTCCGGTGAAATCTGCGAATGATTATATGACATGCTTTCCCGCAAAGGTTAAACTTCCTATGCATATGCAGCGATTGTTTGTCACGACTTACTAAATTGATTCGAAATTTCTTCTTTTTATAAATAAGTGTGACGTATCTATTTAGATATTTGTTTATTTAGTTTAATATTCTTGTTGTTTTTATTTTATCTTTTGGAACAGATACTATTATTATTGACTCCAATGTTAAATTCTAATCCGTCTAATTTTAATATAACTATACATTATCGATTATACTTGTTATTGATCAAAATAAACAATACAATAAATTAATTCATTTATTTAATTATCTCATGCTTTTTCTTTTTTTTTCTCTCGAGGATTCATCAATTATGCTATTTCTCGCACAGATGCTTCCTTCTTTTTTACTTTGTTTTCGATTCTAACTAATAACTATATAATCATTTACACATTCTAACTAATAATTACATAATCGTGTTGAGATACATTCATACAAACACAAATATATATATGTATATAGAAACACACATATTCACGAAAAGAACGTTGCGACGTATCTCTCACACAAATCCGGAATAGATTCTGATCGGCGGAGATTTACGGATGTTATTAAACTTTCTTACCTGAGGATAAAGCAAGCTGAAGATGCAAGGAATATGATCTAAAGATTTTTTTTATAATTATTGTGTAATGCAGCCAATTTCTTACGAGTCTTGTAACCAACGAGACGGCAGAAAACTTGGCCTTCCAACTAAAGATCGCGCCGTTGACTGCACGTCGAGAACTGCAAATGATATCTCATCGGCTTGACCTATGACATATCGATTATATATGGACGCGCTGTAAACGCGCAAACAAAAAAACTTATTATAGTTTCTCTCCATCGTTTCTTAGAGACGACTTTTTGCACGATATGTCAACTTGATTTTCTGGATTCTCATAAAAATGCAATAATTACTGTTCTCACACATGTGTGAGAATCATAGCTGCAGTTATAATTTATTTGAAAATATTCAAATATATTACGTTAAAATCTACATTAAATGCTAATATATACAATTAGTTTTACGAATATTATTATTGGCTGCTTAAAATTCTATAGTTTTTTCTTCTATCCAAAAATACCTAGTTTGACAAGTTAATGAGATTAAAAAATTAAGAACGTATATTATTTTTTACTAGCATATTAATATAAAAAATAATAGTATTTTTTAAAGTTTCCGAGATGCAATGCAATTATTATTGTTTATCTTATCAGTTAAATATTGCGCCATATATTACTGACAACGATATTTTAGATATATTAAATATATTTTATTTTAAACAATAGCATATATTTTTTATTTAATACGTAAACAAATTTAATTCGATTTATCACACATAAAATATACGATATAAGTATATTAATATAATCATTAATAATTATGTCTTATTATATATCATGCTTATATCATGCTTATATTATGCTTATCATGGCAAGTTTTGGATGAGTACAAGACATCGCAGACTATTTATCTAAAGCACTTAATAACAAGTATTCATGAAAATGTAATAAAAGAAAAGAAACTACGGAAAATTTGAAATTATCGCTCACAGACGTTCTTAATTGCTATTCAAAGTCCATTTCGTACTTCTATCTTCATAAAGATGACCATCCTATGGTCATGCATTAATATAGATTTATTTTTTCGCTAGCTTCTACTTATCTTAGCTGTGTGTGCTTTATTTATCTTAAAATATTATATAAGTTGTTTTATTTATCTTAAGATATTGTATAAGTTGTTTAATAAACATATAATTTAAAAAAACTGTCTTTATTTTTATATTATTTTATTATTGCACTTTATTATTTTGTTTTTATATTATTTTCCTTCAGTAAGTACAAATTTCACAGAAAGGAATTGTTTAAATATTGTATCGTTCTTTGTCATCATCAGAGATCAAAATATGTCGATAATCTCTTACGCTAGAATACCTTTTCCTATCCGTTATCTTCTATCTCTTCAAAAACTTTTCAATTTACGCAAAATATGAGAAACGATAAGCTATCCCCTCAGCTAATAAGAAAATAAATGGTTAAAGATATAGCGTGACCATAAGAAGTCAAAAGGTTGAATTAATGAAACAATTGTCTATTCTCTATTCTATTCTCTATTGCCTATTGAGAATAAAGTATGTCACTAGAATCAACTGATTTAATGTCAATTAGAAAATTGTGTACTGGGAGTTTATATTTTAGAAATTGTATTAAAGTGATTTTTTAATTAACGAAATTTGTATATAATTTTCACGATGGTTTCAATATTCTAATAAATGATTAAAATCTGATAATTAATTTGTTCAAAGTTTCTTGCCATTTTGATGTATCTATATTCATATTTGTATTTTCGTAATCTTTTGAAGGATATTAATAAATTTATTTAGATGACTATTAAAAAATATAAATAAATTACTTTTGAGCAATTTATTTATATATTTTCGGGAAACATATACATGTAATGAAATATTATAAATTCGAGTATTATATAATTATAATTAAAATATTAAACCTAAATCATAATTATAAATTTTTAATAAATTATAAATTTTCTTCAAAGCAAAAAATAAGTAATCTAATAATTTAATTTTAATAATTTAATTAATCGTCCATTAATTATTAATTTATCAATATTTTTTTAGAATATTATTATATATAGATTTATATTTATTATATATAGATTATTATATATAGATATGCATAGATATATCTTGTTTCATAAAGTTGTTTTATTTATCTAATAATTGATCAAATAAAAAGCTAATAAAAGAGCAATAAATAATCTATCCAATTGATTGAAATGTCAACGCGGTTGATACTACAATACTACTTTATACTACTATAATACTTAATTTCGAATTCTTACATCATATAACGTGATCTATTAAAAATTCGCTAAAGTACATCAGAAAAGTTATTGGTTTATGGCACGTGCAGTACGTGGGTTTTTTCTTACTCAGTCCGTATGCAAGTACGACACAATGATATATATATGTGTGTATATATATATATATATATATATATATATATATATATATATATGTTAATAGGTTGAAAACGCATCATCTATTCAAACATCTGCTCATCCATAGGCGTATGCACTATTTCTTAACAATTTATTTACAAAATACCACAACATAAACTCAATAAATTGTTAAGTAAAAAGATATTTATAAAAGATATATATTTTGTTATCATTACTTTTATGTATTTCTTTATATTATTCTACTTATTTAACGTAGAATTATCTTGATGCTTAATTTGAAAACAATAAAGTAAAAAGATTTTGCGTTATTTCCAAGACCTATTCGTGTATTATATCTCTTTGCAATATATAATATAAAATTATTAATTTAAGAATATAAAAATATTTAATTTAAGAATATAAAAAAATAAGTGTGACTGTACGAATACTCTTATTCGCCAATGATACTTCACTATATATACATGGTCATAGATCCATATTAAGAATGCCAATAAAAAGTCATTATTCCATTTTGCAGTGTTATACAGAATGTGTCATATGTAACATATCTAATATTAGCTTCAATCAACACCAATAAAGGAAAAAATAGCAATTCACGCGATCTTTACGTATATAGTGAATCTCTTTGCGAATATATAAAAGTACTTGAATCCTTTAAATCAGGCATGTCTTGCGAACATCGCGTCAGCGCATGAAATCGTGCGAGACAAATATCTCGTGGTATCTAAAGAAACGTGATATAGGTTGTGGTTTGTCAAAAATATCGTAAAATTGCATAACGCGCGACTAGACCGATAGCGCAGGACATTAATACTCTTTAACGTTTTTTATGATCCGACCATTATACATTTCTAGTGGTAAGAATGCGCGTTTCTCCGTGATAAATAACATCGCGATACCGATCGGCTTTGCAATCGAATCTGAGGCTACAGATTTAAGCTTGAAATATATTTGAAGATAAAATAAATCAGTATATCTAGAATAATTCAATATATCTAAAAAAAGAGAATATTCTTGTTTTTCGGATATTAACTTGTAAAAGACAATGTGCGAAGTCGAGAAAATCCTTCAGGATGAGCAATGTTTTGAAATAATTCGCAAGAAATTGCAACAAGAGGCGATGGACGACTTCTCATTAATAAATTATGAAATCGTGCCGATAAATGAGGTAAATGGTTACATGGGTCAATACTTCACATTGAAAGCGATTGTAGCGAAGTCACCGTTTGAGACGAAGAGCATCAATTTCTTCACCAAGATACCACCACCGATCAACAGTCCGATGTACGACTATTCTCAGTTATATGGTACATTCAAGAAGGAAGTGGCTCTCTATACCACTGTATTTCCGGAGATGTTGAATATGAACGATCTCGATAAGAGATACATTCCAGAATGCTTCCTCGGGATCGAAAACGACGTTATCGTCCTCGAGGATATGGCTCACAATGGTTATACGATGACTGACAAGTTCACGCCTTTCGATTTCGAGCACTGCGAGATCCTGATGAAGACGCTCGCCAAGTTCCATGCAAAGTCCTTCATCTTTGAACAACAATACAAGAAAACTTTGCACGACGAATTCTCTCACTGCATGCAGGAAACCCTCTGGCCTGCGGATGACAGAGCGAAGGCGATGTTCGATGCTTCCGTAAAAGGCATTGTCTCAATGATCGATTTATTGCCCAGATTGAACGATGATCAGCGCAGTAATTTCAAGGAGAAAATCGTGAAATTGTGCGTAGATCACATGGACAAACTATCGCCGTCGATAAAACATAAAAATGTACTGTGCCATGGTGATCTATGGGCGAACAATATACTGTTTAAATATGATGCCGATAAGAAACCTATTGAATGCTGCCTCATTGACTTCCAACTGGCAAGGTAAGTGTGTATGATTTTTTTCAAATTTATCGCATAACTAAATTTATTGTATTATTAAACTTATTGTATGACTAAATTTATTGTATAATAAATAAATTAAATAAACTAAATAAAAGAACTAAATATAAATAACTAAATATAAAACTAAATAAAACAATTAAATACAAGAAATAAATATATTTACATATATGATAGGAAATAAGATTTATGTCTGTCTTTTCTTATTTTAATGCAGATACAATCCACCAGCACACGACATATTGTGCTTCCTTCAATTCACGACAACACGAAAGCTACGAGAGAAACATAATGAGACGCTTTTCAGAATCTATTATGATTCGATGGCGATCGTCATGAAGGAGGCTGATCTGAATATATCAGATATTTTTTCTTGGGACGAATTTGTCGAGTCTATCCAAGATTTACGCATTATGTGCATAATTCATGGTATCCTCAATACACCGATCATGTTGCTGAAGCCTGAGGCAGCCAGTAAATATTTTAGCGAGGAGCCGGAGCACCTTGAGAATATTTTGTATGTTGATAGAACGCCTCTTATTTGCGGACAATTCAAGGAAGTACCGGAATATCGTGCCCGTATGATAGACGGCCTACTAGAATTGTACGATTACATAATTGATAACAATTACACGATGCAATAATCAAACCGTAACGAGTAAAATATCACATAGTTCACTATTCAAGTGTAGTTTAGGAGTATAAAATTCGGAATAAGTAATGGAATCAATTTAAGATTAATCAATATAAAAATCTGATATCAATAGACTCTTCAATAATTATATAAATTTATATCTTATATATTTATATATATTTATATATTTTATATATATATTTTTTTTATATATTTATATATTTATATATTATATATAAATTTATATCAATAGATTCTTCAATAATTATTAATAATAATATATAAATTTATATCTTTTCGTCGTCAATAATATTTCGAACAAGTAAAGTATAATAAACGTAATGTTATGTGTGCAATATAAATAAAATGAAAGTATTATGTTTAGTTTTTAACACAATAGAATATTAATTCTTTTAAATATATTAAAATTAATATAATTAATTATGTAATTAATTATGTAAAAATTATATAAATAGAGAAACATTCGAAATGAATTAACATGTAATAACTAATTTTCTTTAGCTGATTACAGCTGTTGACATGATAACATAAACATATTTAAGAATCTATCTAATCTCACATTGTAACATAATTTATTAATAGTAATTAATATTTTCAAAGCTTTTTAACATTACGTACTATTAAAGACAAACCTCGAAATATGCTTCATCAAAAAATTAATGCAAGAATATAATTAAATATTAATTATATATAATTAAAAAAGTGTGAATTATGGATAAAGAATAATGGGAACGTTATGTTAATAGAATATTTAAAATAATAAGTTATTAATAAGCTTACGTAACTTCGTACATGAGTACTTATTTTTGAACGCAAAAATTGCTGCAATTACTAATAACAATTATATATCAGTAATTTGTTGTGCATATAGTGATAACTCTTTGTGACATTGCGTTCTAGGTATAATTGCCGATATTTTTAAAGCAAATTTTATTAACAACCAATTAAATATCTCCAAAAGAAACGTATTATGTTTCTTTATTCTTCTATCTCCAAAAGAAACGTATTATGTTTCTTTATTCTTTTAAGAAATCTTAATAATTATTATCTTATCTATTACACAAGTAAACAATCACATATGCACTCTTAAATGCAAACAATTTATAGATTGCACGTGATATTAGCGTAATCCTGTATATTTTTGAAGTATAATTGTAAAATAATATTAAATTGTTGAGAATAGCAAATTTGAATACAAATTGTAGACATAAAATAATATCTTATACCTACCTATGTTAGACTTTGTCCTTTGAAGCTTTTCTACATGTAAAAAAGTTAATGCATTATTTTCTTAATAGAAAATTTTAATAAAACAATCTAAATATGCATCGCTTTAAAATAAGAGTTAAGAATTTACAAACTTTGTCATTAATATAAAAATATGAATTAATTTAATCATATGCATCTAACTGTATTGGACATCTAACTTTATAAAACATTATATAATATAATTTAAACATTATAAAGTATGAGTTTTCTATATAGATTAAAAAATTAAAAATAATATTAAAAATATTATTAAAAAATTCATAGCATTTGAATCGATTCTATTCCGATTTCGATATTTTTGAAGAACAAATAAAAGAGAAATAATGATATGTACAATATACATATATTAGAAATAATGATATATAGAATATATATATTAAAATTTTCTCTGATGTTAATTCAATATCGTTAAACATTTTAGATATTTAATGTGCAATCTCTTCTAATAACGAGGCAATATGCCGCGTCTGTCGAAGATAACTGAAAAAATAATCTTCTCTTTTGTTATAATGCCGTTGCATTGTACTATTAATTATCTATCAACTATATGTACAAATATAAATCATGAGCGTACGGATAATCCTGTCAGCATATCGAACAGACTCGAAGAGAAACAACCGTTATCGAAATGAATTGAAGAGGCGTTTAATTTTGTTTTCATCACATATTAACGAAACAATTCTATGCCAACAGCTTCATCCTGCTCAACACAGGTTTGTAAAGTACTTGTCTTTTTATTACAAAGTGACGTGGATTCGCATATCGAAACGCGAGGCATAAGGGGGCTCTGGGGGACTTTTTTACTTTTATGTATATAATTATTTATATCATCAATTATAATGAATATATAGTTATGTACAATATTGAATCTCATTCTTTAACAATAACATCAACAACATGATTAAACAACGTTCCTCATTGGTACACAAATTGTAAATGTACAGATAAAAAAGCATTAGATGAGGTCAATGAGGCATTGAAGGTGGCATACGCTCAGCGCGCCTTAATTCCCTCTTCTCTTTATACATTTTTTAAATCCTCATATATATATTTATATCTCGAATCACTTCGAGTTCTTTGTTCGATTTTTCATGGGCTTACTTATATTTATATATATATATATAATTATATATATATTTATATATTTATATATATACTCTGAAGTATTATACTTCTTTTAGATACACACGTTCACATACACACAAATGCGTCACATTTGCTCCACGCGACGCAACGAGAATATGACAACGTTGATGATATTGATTGAATCAGTGCGCGATTTAATTCTTAAAGAGAGTGCATGAGCGATTTGCGACGCGCGATTGACAAGGCATAAATTTCTTTGTGAATTTTAATACACCTGATAAATATATAATCGTCTTTTTTAAAAATAATATCGCAAGAATCATCACATATAAAAATTTACACGAAAAATTTTCCATAATCAATGATATTAACTTTACATGTATTAAAAATATGTAGTAAATTACTCAAACATCGAAGGAACGAATTAATAACTGTCGAAATTTTTCTAGTTCGGCTCGCCCCGCGCGACGCAAATCTCGACCAATCATCTAAAACTTTACACAAGGCTCCGACAAGATTTCTTTTTTTTTTGTGTCGCTTAATAATAAACGACTTCCACAAAATCTAACGTACGAATTTGTTTTATTTTCGTATAGAATCGCATCAAGGCGAGACAGAATCATCGAAGCTCTCTCTCAAAGCTTTCTCTAGTGCTTAAGGACTCGTTTGCACACTCGTAGTTCGCCGATAAACGTTTCTTTGCAAGAAGACTCGAAGATAGCAAAAGGAGAAAGGAAAACAAATGTATAAATAAGCATTTCTCGAGAACAAAACGATACGCACGCATCTGAGACATGTTCATCAATCGAGGTTTTCGCATTACGCGGCTTTCTCACAGCCAACTCCATTTTCTCACAATTTCTTTTCTCTCATCAAAATACGCGAGGTTGACAAAATAAAGGATTTCAGGATTCAACTTCATGCTGCATTCGTGACAATTACCATACTCTTGAAGAATTTCCAAACTTTAGATATTAGCAAACGCGATATCTATTTGTAGAATGCGTTTAAAAGAGGAAACAGAATTTTCGCGTAATAAAATTAAAAATTATTTTTTTTTTTTTATAATTTTAATCTTTCTTAAAATTTTAAAAAATTATTACATTTCCTTAAGCAATAAATTTTGAATCAAATTTTAAATTGATAATTTCTTTTATTACAAAATTATTTAAAACAGTTTATGATTTTTAAATTAAAATTGTCAAAATTTGTTTAGTATTCAGAACTAATCTTAACAAAGCCGTTAAAATTCAATAATGTAATTAATAATGAATAATATATCTTTACTAATTCTTTACTATCTTTTTAAATGCATCTACACATTACGCACTTGATATCTTTCATAACTATTTTCAAATTTTCACAAACGAGAAAACAAAATCTCTTTTCATCTATTTTCAAAGTTTTGTTAAGAGAAGGATGCAGAGTAAGGAGCAATTACACGTATCGACATGTCCCCCCCTTTCTTCTCTCCTCTCGCAATCTCTCTTCTCTGATTTTTTCTCTTCGTTAAATGTTCGAGTTACGTTATCTCGAGACTGATGAAATTACGGGCGATTGAGAGCAACAGGAAAGACGAGGAAAGATGCACGGAATTCGATTGTTGCGAAAATACAATGTCCATTTATGCGAATACCGTTCCGCCCGCGAGAAACGCGGCGAAGCGCGCAAGCTTCTCGGCTAAATCAGATCGCATCGAAAACATAGTCTTGTAATCATCGTTCTTCAACATCACGATTCAACATACAAATCACAAAAATCCCACTATTCCAAACAAATGTTAAATACTTTTAACGCTGTGAAATTGTATAGATAAATAAACATATATAACGCTCACGATCGATTTAGTTATAAAACTATTTAATTGCCTGACAATTGAAAATCTCAGAAAAAAAATATTCAATGTATCTACTTGCCTGAAATATAACTAATTATATTTATTGCGTTAAGAATCCACAATGCGTGAAATTGATAATATCTTTATAGGAGAATGTTAAGTTTTGAGAATGTTAAAATATAATTCTATATATTTTTTAAATAAAGCAATTATTTGTATCATCATTGTACAGTTGTCATCATTGTACAACATGTGAAAACTTCAAAATCCTTTCATGGATTACCTGTATTCCAACGTGTATTTCTGTTTTACAGGCTGCAAATTGGAGAAATACAGAGCGTTTGCTTTGCAACTGAAAATTTTCTAGTTTCTCACGAAAATATACACGCTTCAAAAAGAGTTTTGCACCATTCAAATTTTCACTAAATGGTATATATGCAAGTGCATGTATATATATAGCCTGAATTGAGTAAAAAATTCATCTGTCAGATAAACCAATCATTAAAAAAGAATGATTTGCATTTCCTCCTATCTGAATACAAGGATGTGGCATAATAAGCAGATGCAAAACTATATTCGGCGTGTGTTAATAATGGGGCATTTTGCACTGAGAATAGAAACTAGATTTCTGTCACGATATTTTTCTCGCGAAACATCTCGGAAAACATGAGAACTTACGATCTTGCATGAATAAATCCCCTCGGGCTACATTGACGGCCTCCAACGCTGAATCAACTAAATTTCTTTTCTATTTCTGTCAAGTGAGCGCATATTTCACGATATTTTTCAACGATCAATCTCGTTTCTCTCTTTCGTCTTACGCTTTATAGAAGAATAACTACTCGCTGGCCAGAAATTTAGTTAAATCAGAACTGTCAATGCAGTTGAGTCCTGCATCTCTCCATCGCTACGTGTCCTTTGTACTTCGCAGGGTGCGTGCCCGCTCGCGCGCCTCGCCTTGCTCTTTCTTTTGCCGCACACTCGAGCTATACATAGAAAGTTATGTACAACGATATTAACACGAACTGCAGTGGCAGTGAACAGTGCACATGGATATTGCAAACAGCAGCAGCAGCAGCAACAGCAGCAGCAGCAGCAGTAGCGGCGGCGGCGACGGCGGCGGCGGCAACGACGATGACGACGATTATACAAGGTGTATGCGTAATACGAAACACGGCAGCGACTACCACAGCTAGTTTTTAATCTGTCTGCTTCGTAATCTTTGTTCATTTTTTTTATTTTTATTTTACCGCATCCTGTCGATTGTGGATTTCCGATCCTGGGACGATCGAACGCGAAATAGGCGCGACCGACATCAGTATCGTGCATTTATTATATCGTCGTCACGATTCTTTTCTCGTCCTTAATCTTCTTCGGTTTCTTCCGCTTTTCTGTGTTGTTCGGCTTTTTCAAGAACAGTCTCGTGTACATGTACATATGTATATCCGTTTGCGCCGCACTCGCGCGCGCGTTGATCCTTTTCGATCTCATTCTCGACTTTATACGTGTGTGTGTAGATGTCTAATGTGTGTGTGTGTGTGTGTGTAAATACATATATGAGGAACGAATTGTAAATCGTATATGCGATTGCGCGCGCGCGCGTGCGTCGTTATGTACATGCCTTGTCTCGTACGCATGTAATTACATGTGCGTGTTTTCAGTGTACGAGTCCATTTTCACGCGCACACGTCGGTATGCGCAGCGGGAAAAAGATCAAAGTATGAGAGAGTGTACGTGAGAAGAAATAGAGTATTTGTATATAAGTGTATTCGTGTATTTTTTTCTTACATATATGTATATTTTTCTTTTATATATACATATATATGTACGTTTATATGTGTATACATATATATATATATACACACACATATCTTATACATATATATGCATGTATGCATGTACACACATATACATATATATATGTATGTATGTATGTATGTATGTATGTATGTACACACACGTGAGTTTCACAAAAATATATAAAAAAGAGAATGTCTATGTATACATATATATATATATGTGCATATATACCTATAATGTATATATACCGATATAGACGATTTTCATACTTAAATTTGTGTGGAAAAGGGTGTACTTCATCATAATTATTTATATATATATATATACGTATATATATATACATATATATATAGAACCTGTAGAAAGTGCTTCTGATTGAGATTTTTTTGTTTCATTAGCCATAAAACAAGACACACGAGGTAAGGATTGCGCGTAGTAGTCCGGCATTACGTTTGCCCTGGCATTCGATTCACGCCGAATGCGGCACCGTCTATAAAAGACGACGAGAGGAATCTCTCTCTCAAGATGAGACGAGACGTTGGACGAACGAATTCAGTTCGTTGCACTTCCACTGGACTTCTCTCTCTCTCTCTCTCTCTCTTTTCCTCATGCCTCCCCTCATCGCCTTCTCACAGCTCACTCGTTGAACAACGGTGTTCTCTTAGGTAGTGTATTATATACATTAACACGTGCCAAGATGAATTATACTATGACGGTAAGTGTTCTTCCGTTTCCACCGCGCACAGGATATTGCAATTCCACAGCGCTCCTCGAGACTAAGCCACGTGCTAAACTTCAAGCTATATCCCCCTTCCCTCTCCCACCGTCCGCTTTCTTCGTTCCCGGTTGTGGAGGGCCGATAGGAGCTTGATAACACAGTGTTACGCTTTGCGAAATGTTTGATTCAGTCCTGACGCCATCGTCTTCGGGCGAAGACGATTATTCTTATGTTAGCTCGAATAAAGAAAGAGAGACGTGTAGCTACCCTCAGACCGCACAACATTATGCCACTTTCCGTTGTCCCTTTGCGTCCTCTTCTCCTCGCATATTTTCTTTATCCTATTCTACTCGTCCTCTCACTTCGATACAATACTCGTTCATTAGGCTTCTGTGTCTTTGTCCATCAGTTCGCGCATCAATTCCCGAGATATTCGACGATTCAGTAAAAATATATATAATCGCATTACACGGCAAACAAAGTAAAACGAAATCCTTGAGAAATGATCGAATCGGCGAATAAGCTTAAATAATATTTGCATTGTTGTTGTGCAATACTGATGAATCGAGAAAATAAACGAATACGATTCACTATTTTTGGCGACCGATAATAACTCGTTGATGATGCGCAATACGACAATGATGTTCCTCGACGAAGACGAGACGATTTCAGGGACGACGGGCGGCACAATGATTTCTAACGCATGATTAGATGTAGGAATATGGTCCGTCGGTGAGGGCGCTACACAGCAACAATCAGGAGGAGTCGTCCTTGCCTCGGGCACCTCTGCTCGGTCTGTATTCAAGACCTGGATCGAACTGCATCAGCACGAAAACCTGGCAATTCAAAATTAGACCGTTAAAACAATTGTATTTATTTATTTTATTTTTTTGCCTGTTACAGATTGTTCTATCTGTATTTTTAATTAACGTGATATTAAATTGCAAAATTTATTAAATTGTGTCCATTACGTATAAATTACACAGGCCTGCGAGGTTTTTTTTTTAAGATGCAATAGTGATTTCCGACGTAATTTTGTGCGCTGAATCTGAATCTGGCCGCCGAATTTGCGTAGCACATCACGTTTTTGAGTAATTTGTAATTGAATGGCTTAAAAATCGCTATTTTGGCCATTTTCATGAATTTATTGTGGGGAAACCAAATTTTTTGAAATATTTCTACCAATGGCATCGTATAATACTCACTTTTGCCTTTCAAATCCACTTTCGATTATAACTGCACGATTTTTTTTCACTGAGATATATAAGTATGACGTTGTAAGAAAATTTACGTTAAAGAAAATTTATATAGACATTAATATGGTAGATCCATGATCTTGAAATTTGAAAAGACTGACATATGTCAGATTCGGTTGGCCAAAAAAATATTGTAAAGAAATGTCTAATACAGTTGTTACACATTTTGATAAATTTTTCTAAATTTTATGCCTTTATATTGTGATTCTATTCGCCATATTGGATGCGCCATTTTTAATTTCAAAAGGATAGAAGGTATTTAAAAATGTTATTTTTACCCTAATTTTGATTCGTAGTGAGATAGAGAGGTGGCACGGTTGATTTAGAATGGCTTATTAAATCCCTATGCATGACCAGTCTTATAACTTGTATATCTGACCGAAAAAAAATCGTGCGACGGGGGGGGGGGGGGGGTAATCGAAAGTGGATTCGAAGGATGAAAGTGAGTACTATACGATGCCATTGACAGAAATATTTCAAAAAATTTGGTTTACTCACAATAAATTCATGAAAATGGCCAAAATAGCGATTTTTGGGCTATTCAACTACAAATAACTCAAAAACCTGACGTGCTACGCAAATTCGACGGCCAGATTCGGATTCAGCGCACAAAATTACGTCAAAAATCACTATTGCATCTTAAAAAGAAATTTTGACCCCTTGTTTTGCAGGCCTGTGTTATTGGACTTTTATGTTTTTGCGTTACTAAATAGTATTATAATTTGATGTAAATTTTGAAAGAGATATATGATTATTTAAAACATTGTACCTGATCCGTGGGTAATAATGTGAAGTCATCGGGTGGATTTGTGATCACGTATCGTTTGGAAGAGGCGTCGCACGACGAGCTAGTGTCTCGAAACCTAGAAGATTTAAGTATATGTAAGCAAGTAAGAATATAACGCGAATACATCGACATGAGAACACGAGCTATAACTATATATACACCAAGTATATAACTAAACTAATCAAAGACGAGCTAAGTATTAAGCTAAACTAAAGAGAGAGTATAAACTAAACTAAGAGAGAGTATAAGCTAAACTAAATTAAACGATGTGGACGTACGTGACGAATAACTAAATGCTAAATAAACAACGAGATGACACAAATATATAGAAAGAGAGAATAGTAAAAAATGATAGGTATTTTTTGGATGAGGGCAACTTACAATCGTTGCTTCATTACTTTCGTTTTCATGATGCAAAAACGCAAAGTGCAAAAAATGTGCGGCAAGTAAATCATAATCAAGTCGCATAATAAGTATACGTGAGTATAGTAAGAGATAATAAACGGCGGTACAATAATGGCAGCAATCGGAGAAGTCGCTGATTCTCAAACGGTAATATATACAATGTATGTAGAATGTGCGTAAGGGTAATCCAATAAATACCATCGAGAGAGAGAAAAAAGTCCGGTACCTGTACCTGTACAGACCAATGCACAGCATTCCGTACGACTTTAATGCTGCGACAAAGAGGTCACCGTACTTGCCTCCCTCGCCATATTGAGCCAATGGCCCGTCGTACAACGCGATCTGACCAACACGACACCGATCTCTATTGGACAGGCTATCTGCCGTACTGCAAATTAAATAAATTAAATAACGTATATCGCGTCAAGATTCCTTTTGAAAAATTAAAATAGATAGACAACAGATGTATTTTCAATATCTCACCTGTACCCTCCCCTTAAACCTGCCCCTTCAGCCAGGATCAATTCCAATTCGGGTGTAGCTCCACCGGTGATCAATGACCGAATCAGAGTCAGCGCATTTTGATTGAAATATGTCTATAAAAGTAGATAAAATTGTAGATATAATCTATGTTTTTTATATGTTATATTTGTATAGTACTTCAAGAAGAGAGAGAATGTTGAAAATTATTGCGAGAAACATATTCTAAAAAGTATACATATTATTGATTCATGGCTATATATAGTCGGAACAATGAATTTTTAACACTGACCGTCGACATGAGAGAATCTAATACGCTGACTGCAAAGGCAGTGCCGCAGGCGAACGGTTGTGTGAGGTAGAGTTCCGTGTCCGGGTCATCGTCGTCGTCCTGGTCAAGGAACTGCACGTTGCTGTCATTTACAAGTTCTAGAACAGCGAAAAATGGCAATCAGCAATGGCTTTGACATTAATATCAAGATACTTGTCACGAAAATATAAAATTTTTGTCCGTGCGAGAAATATTTCGATATTATGATGACTGTTTCTATGAAAAATATAATTTTCATTTAATCAATTAAATATGATGATATTGGACAGTTTTTATTTTCGTACATTAGAATAACAAGTATATAAAAATATAAAGATTTGTTAGAATCTCTTTCATTACCTGTAATCATTGGCACATTTGCTCCGTAAACGGATCCCCGCCGCTGCAAAACGATCGGGCTGCCAACTGCAATTAAATTGTTTGTTGTACATAAGTTGCACGTTTTATTTAATATATAATATTAAATATATTAAATATTTAATATATTTAATATTATATATATTTAATATAAATTTAAATATGTAATACATAATATATAATATTATTTAATATATAATATTGTTTTAAAGATTTCCCCACCAATTTCGTGCGAATGTTAATGATCTTCAGGCGTACCTTGGCTAAGCACGCCGATTGTATCGTCGAAAGTCATAGCCTTGATATTGAGGGACGCGAGAATGGCCTCCTTGTCGGCGAGGGTGGGGTCATCATTGCTAGGCACTTTTGCCGACAGGATGCAACACATGTCACATAGATTCACGTTAACGGCACGTAAATCGGCTCTACTTAATGGCGAACCCTGTGAAACAAATAAAAAATACTGAAAGGTCTTAAGCAAAAAAAAATACAGAAAGATTTCCATCGCATCCTTAAAAATAATTTTTCATTATCATCATTTTGCATTAACATTGTGTTTTTCGAGTTTTCTCGCTAATTTAATAATATTGAATATAAAAATCTTGTAATAGTTAATAACGATTTTTTAAATATCTTCTATCTGTATAATACAGCGACAATATATCTCTATAAAATCTATGATATTATTTAATATTGTATTATATTTAATCATTAAAATTAAAATAGTTTGTCAAATCAAAATTTTCATTAATCTTTTTAACAAATTTTTAATTTATTATTTAATTTCGTCCATATATTCCGAGAGATAGATCAAGAAATTATTATTAATAATGTGAATAAACTTTTATATTAAAAAAATTAATTAATATAAGAAACTTATGCCCAAAAGAACCAGGCAAGTCAGAGACGTTTTACACTACACGATAATAAAAAAAATTTGCATTACTGCCTGGAATAACTGTTTTGTAAACAAGAACAGATTCTCACATTTAGAACCGATATCTTCGGTAGATTCTGTAACATTTTCCACTCGCGGCGTATGTAGTCCACCGATCCGACTATCACTACATGTTTAAGCTCGTGGTAATGAAAATTGGAAGCTCGTAATGGCATGACAAGGTTTCTCAGTCCGATGAGAGGCGAGTCGGGATCGGCGAACAGGCAGACGACGACGTGTCCGTTGAGAACTGTCATCGCCGCTTGATTACGATCCAGTATGCAGTCTTCGAGGTTGCGAGAGGGACTCCAGTGGAACATCCCCGTCGAGTCGTATTTCATCTCGGTCTTCTCGAAATCGAAATCTTTCGCTTGATCATCAGCGATCCCGACCTGAAGACCACCATTGTTGTTGACGTTCGTGCCAGCCGAGGCTCTGCTCGTTGGCCTGAAAAAAATCACATTTTACGATTATATGAATGAAACTACAGATGTGAAACTATCATTGTCAATTGCATTATGAAGGAACAATAGTTTTATACTAATCTATAATAGAAGATATCGATACAAAGAGAGAGAGGAAATCTTAAAAAAATTGCATTTAAAATTCCTACGAGATCTCTTGTTAAATAAAAAAAACTCGTAAATCCACACTTCCGCATGCATTTCATATACATCATCAGAATTTTATGTCATCTAACTACTGGTGTTGTTACTTTCTATATCTTAAAATGAAATGAGTAAGATAATAGATTATTATAGATTAAAACAAATATTAAAAAAATATAAAAGAATATCCAAAGATATTACATTGTCTTACTTGCGTGCATATAAATACAGTGTATAAGTAATAAGCAGAATTGCCTGTATAAAATTTAGAATTTTGCACTTTAATAGCGAACATCATGAAGTGGCTAAAGCGACTTACGAAATCGAAGTCTATTTAAATTTACCTTGCCACGAAAATTGCATAGTTCATTGGAAATTAATTCGATCAATCTTATTATAGAGTATACTATAGAGTATAAGAAACATTGATCGATATAACATTTATTTCTTGAACGTGTTATGCGAAAGTTTTGCACGTATTCCCATATATGACACTCACGTATTTTACGAGCGTTTTTAATGCCAGTCGCACATGTTTTCCGAGATTGAGTATCCTCGTAAAACTCGTGGACTTTTATACTTTTTACGCTACGACATGTAACTGCAACACGGTGCGCAACTTCAAATACGTAATGTTCGCGATGGATAATTTAACAGCAAGCATAATATACTGTCCGCTTGTGGTAGGCCGGCTGTTGCTAATAATTTACCTTATGTTATTATAAAATTTTTAAAGCAAAAATATCGATTTACGAGTCACATCAAATTTACGGATTAATATTTTATGTCTATTAAAATTAAGTTTCGATGACCTCCAGAAAAAAAACGCAAAATTGTGCAATTGATTTTTTTTGATAGTACAATAAAATAAATATTTTTTTTAAATAATAGAGATGATAAAAAAATATTGAAAATTTTTACACAGAAAATTAACCGCATTACAAAATACATAAAATGTATATCTACAAGTTTTATTGTTCTACGATCTACTCCTATTAGTTTATCAAATTTTTGACTATATCGTAATAACTGAAACTTAAATAGAAATGCATAGTATTCTTAGTAGATCTTTTATCATAAGAGAGAGCTACTCGTTTTCAGACTTAATAAATATTTTGTCCTAGATTTTCACTTAAGAATACAACATGCACGAGAAAGAAGCATTATTAAATAGTAGTGTTCATTATTAACTAGTAGTAGGTTAAAGCAATCGCATAATCACGTCAAAATACAAAATAGCGTTAACAACAGAAGCGTACATGAGCTTTTTGACTTCGTAGGCGAGATGGTAGCCAGCGTATGCGGACTCCTCTTGCGATCTGGAATCAGAAGGTTGCGTAACGTTGGATCTGTTATCAGATGACTTTTTTCTGATTTTTTGGTCCACGATGAGAAAGACATAATGATGACAATGATGAATGATTCTCTAGGCAATTGTATCAATACAATATTCTTCGATCTTTCTGTTAATCGTGAAATAAAATATTGTAACTTATAAAACACGTGTCAACCTTATTACGAATAATAAGATCCGCATAATAAGATCTGAATAATAAGATTGGAAAAGAGCAGGAACTACACGTTTGTTGACAGAAGGCATTAATCGTTCAAATCTTTCCGAATAACAGCAGAAACGGTGAAAACTAATCTAACGGACGTGTAACAGGTTCATCGGAAAATGTCAACGACCACCTGTAGCCTATAACTTGCACCGATAGCATAGTAGTACGAGTAGCTATCTTTCTCGCGCGAACGATTTCTCTCGTGATTTATGCGAATCGTTTATCGTTCAAGTCTGCCGCACCTTTTGTCAACAATTGACTGAAACGATAGAAAGCACATTGATCTTTCTCGTTTCCAACAAGATTGTTTCTAATATTTTATTATGCAATTACACAATTTTAGAAGTTGATTAAAAAGAATTGCTCCGATTAGGCTGCATGTCTCACGTATACAAGAAACAATAATATTTTTCCAAACGTGAAAAATTAGGCCGACTATTATAGAATTTAACTATTCGATAATTACATATATTATATATCAATTATATATTTCTCTCGTAATTTCGCCGATTCATAAAGATGAAAAATTATGTTCTATCACATATGGATGAATGATTCTGGATCGCATCAAAGATCTCTACCGAGAATTGGCACACGTTAAATTTTTGAGGGTTACATGGCTCGTTTGTTTAACAATTTTTAGAAACATGCTAATCGGAGAAAAACGAATGCATAGGTTGTTGATACATTAATGTGCAGATCATCCTAGTGCACTCGATTAAAATAGGTCTTATTAACGGATTAATAACATTTAAGTGAACGATACACGCATTTACAGAAAAAAAATAAATATAAAAGGCACATATTTAAAACTACATTTACTTTGTAATGTTATATATCATTAGGTTATTCAAAATATGTTGCCATCAATTCGTCAATTAGAGAGAATATTGCAACATATAATGTTTAAAAAAATTCTCACACACAGAATAGCTTGGCAACATTCTGTTTCCGTTTGTTCAACCAGAATTTTTATAACTTCATTACAATTTGAATAACCCCTATACAATACGCGTGAAGAAATCTATGTAATTCTAATCGTGCAACTATAGATAATACATATGTAAGCTTATAATTAAAGTGTAAAACAATACGTTGTACGACAGAATAGAAATAGAATTAGAGCGCACTTTAAGAAAATATTTACGTTCAAGCGATTCAGAAGAAAGCGATTCGTTGTTTACAATGTGTCAGTATTAGATGTCGAGTGCACCATAAGTCTTGCTGTAAAGTGACGTAAAGACGAAAAAAAAAAGAGAATAAAGAAACGGCGTTTCGATGAGAACATTGCTTTTCACGCAGCGTTTTTTTTTTAATTCGATAATTCTCAGTAGTGAAATTCACATATGTTGATTTGATTGGGTGCGAAACAGACATGTCTGGCAATCAATGATTATAATTAGAGATGTGTTTTATATATATATATATAATATATATATGATGATGATGTAAGTGAATAATGTTTGGATGCGTATACGTTGAGTGACGATAAAGTTACAACGCGCAGAATAATTAGGTACCTCTGATTATACGGCTGATTCGGACTGGACAGACTGTCATTCGTCGCTCGATTCACATTCGGTTTCACCTTGTTGACCTGCTTTGTCGAATTCATCATAGTCATCCCAACGGAATTCCGATGATTTCTCATGGCTGCAATACATCGGGATTAATTTGTTATCGCTGTGATAATGTCGATAATAGAGAAGCGAGATAAAGAGAAATAAACTATCAAAATTTTTATAATCACACAAATTAATTAATTAATTTCTTGTTAAACAAGTAATTAATAATAATTCTTAATTAATTAGGTTAAAATTATATATGCTTGCAATTGAAACTTACCATTTGGGTCGTCTCGTTCGCGGCTGATCTCACCTAAAATGGATAAGACAGTGTTAATTCTAAATCTGAGCATCCTATTTGCTATTAATAGTGGGCAAAGCAACAATGATTAGACGATAGAGTGTCACACTGATCGTGATCTAACTCCCCCCATTACAGCGCATATTTTCGTGATGATGAGCCTACAGCCCCATGCTTACAGACGCGCATACTTCACCCTACACTTGTGTTTTGCATATGTCAAAAGATTAATCGTTAATGGCGTCGATCAAAATAGAAATCTTTTCAATACAAAGAATTTATATGAATTTTTATGATCTTTATTTTATATTATATATACTTCTTTTTTTTTACTAATAAAATAAATATCATAAATTTATAAGTTAGAGACAAAACCCTCTTTTTTATTTCTAAAAGTTAACTAATTCTATTTTTATTAAAATTTTATCGTGTAATAATATACGAATTACTTTCTATGCAAAAATTATTTTTTTAAATTCTCTTATTGTATCATCATAAAATAATGTTAAGTATGTCGCCCCAAATATAGTACATAATTTTTTTGTAAATTATTTTTTTAAATTCTCTTATTGTATCATCATAAAATGATGTTAAGTATGTCGCCCCAAATATAGTACATAATTTTTTTGAAAGTATAATGTATCAAATATAAGAAAAAATATTATATTAAGTCGTGAAAACTATGCAATTAAACAATATTTGCTTTAAAAGTAATCGTAAACTATTTAGCACTAGAAAAATTTACAGTATAATATAATGTGTGTGTATCACGATACTTTATTGAATAATTATTTTCTGTAATTAATAAGATAAAATTATAAAATGCATTATACATATATATATATATATATATATATATATATATATATGCGCTAAATGTTATAAAAAAATTAAAGCTTTTACATTAGAAGAATTATTAATCTACTATACAACTATGAGTTTATCTTTAAAAATTATAAACAACGAGATATCATGAAAAACGCGTTTCACAAATCAACGATTCAATCATAGAACAAGCATCTCTAAGTATATAAAATTAAAAAAAATTCTATTTACCATATACACAAAACTTACCAGACAAAATTATTTTAGCAAAAAATACTAAAATAACGTTTCTCAGACAAGTTTCATCAATACTTTGATTTGAAAATTGTATCTAATCTAATTGCATTTGCTTTATTAATATATTAAACATTCAAGAACAATTTATCATGATAAAAAGAGATTATAGACAATCTATATTTTATCATATGTGCACACAGATTTACATTTCATAAATTCACATAAAAGTGTGAGAAACGTTTGTGCAATTAAACGAGATTTTCTACTTACGCAGACGAGCACCAATAAATGTTCTGAGCATTTTAATTACTAAATGTAATTATATGCAATTTTAATTTATTTTCAATAATTTCGATATAATTATTATTTTATATTTAATATTCTCATTGCAAATTTTTGAAAATATTTATCACTTTATGAAAGAGGTTATCAATAAAACATATTCTTATAAATTGTGAGTTCTCTCGTGCAAATTGCATCAGCTTTTAAAAATGATACATCCGCGTGCGCGATCCGCCATATAATATATAATTTTATACACATTAAAAAAATTGTTGAAATTATTTAACAAGCCAACCTCTGTAAATAATTACATTTTTTGTTCTATAAAATCTATGTTGCAAAATATATATTAAATACTTTATAGATTAATTATCATAAAATAAAATACGAATAAATTATATTAAAAATTAATTCTATAAAACTATCAAATACTATTGCAACTATACTAAAAATATATTTTGTGCAAAATCTAATAAATTTTTAATAAATTTAATATAAAACAGAAAATGTTATTTTGTCTCAAATAGAACACGTTTACGTAATAAATACGATTTCCAAATCAGTAGTCATTAGAATATATCACAATAGAAATTAGTGTAAATTTAAATGTATACTATATTCATACAGAAATAAAATAATGTAAAGTATGAACGGTATTATCGGATCTATTAGTCAGCTGCATGCACTTGTCACAATAATAGAGAAAGTAGTACACACGAGAATAATACGCAAGCATATATGTACAACTATATGCTTGTGCATTACGTATGGTAAGAACAAAAAAATTATAACTTTTTTTATTTATTAACTTCTTCCTACTTTCTCCAATGTTTCCAGCAGTAAAATAAAAAAAATTGTAATTATTATTTCTTAATCGAACAAAACGTGTTAATAACTAATCGCTCAAGCGTGTTTAACAAAGCATATCAAACTTCCGATGAGAGTGATAATTCTCTTTTACGTTCGCCTTTAATGTTTTTCGATTACTATATATCAAGCAACTTTTAATGTATTCGTTAATGTATTCGTGTCGTATTGCCGATTGCAAAATTAGAAAGGGCAGCTTGCGAGACTGTAGCATGGTTTTTGATTGAGGTGTAACTGTACCTCTTACGTGAACCATCTTGGGCAGTTCTGGCGGAGTGAATGTGGGGGGAGGATGGTGGTCGTCTGTAACAAACCACTACACATGTTAGCTACCCTAACTAATTACCTAAAGCCTAATTGCTACTCTATCGTTGGACGGTACTAAATCTGCGATTTAACTTCTAGAAGCAAAGTTCCGTTTCAGCATCACGACAATTTGGAAATCATTACAATTTTTCATGGTACTTACTAAAAAATTATGGAAAAATAACCTTTCTTACCTTGCGCTAAAATCTAAAATAATAACAAAATGTAGAAATATTATAATATATTTATATCTCTGTAATATAATAATTATTTATTATAATTTAAGCCACTGATTAAATTGACAGTTTATACACAGTATAATTTAATATACATTAAATCAATATATATATTTAATATATATATATATATATATATATATATATATATATTAAATATATAATAATTAAATGTGTGCATATTTACGATATTAAGCTGAAACGGTCTTTCAATATCGCTAATAAAATATTGTCTATAAACATTAAAATTGTAGAGAGACAAATGTGCGTACTTTTTAAATTCTAACAATTAAGATATACAGTTCGTGACAACGTGGACGAGTTGACAGATGAGGTCAGAAAAGAGATTTTATAAGAGTTTTAATATTTTCAAACTATCTTCGTCCATATTGTGAAAACGTTATACGACATGATATTAAAATCGATCTACGATTATAAACGTGCAGTATGCTTAAATAATTTCTAATTCATGCTGAAGATTTACGCAAGTGAAGAAGACACGACGACGATATCAGTTGCTTTGCTGTTGGCAAACAAATTTTAATATACTTATCAATATACAAAACGAAGAACAATCTGTCGTCTCCACTTAACGTTATAGTATCGTATAGTGTCCTAAACATGCAATATGACCTTATAGAGAATATTTACTCGGCATTGTCAGTGCACGCTTTGCATCCTCCAGGAAAGAGAGTTCACGTGCAAGACGACAAAGATTTTGCAAAAGCTCGAAAGGAATTGAAAGAGTGCATGAAAGATTATAGAACTTTTCTACTAAGCGCAAGGAAAATTTGTTCTTTTGGGGGAGGTGGCGGGAAAATGTGGATTCTGACGTTAGCTCGTAACGAGACGAGACGCGTCGATTGCTGTGTCTATTTGCAACTGACATTATCGAGACGGTGTGCGAGTGGAAATATATATATATTGCACGTGTGAAACTCCATTTTGCGCGCACTTACTCGAGGCCCGTTGAGTAAAATAATACTAAGCTAACTAGAAGCTATGGACGTCGCGAGGCACCCGCTCGAAAAGTCAAAGTTAAATCCCCTTTGACACACTTTTTTCAAGAAAACATTCTCGAACAGGAAATGCGCAAAATATTTCATGTTCACGATAAAACGCTGAATCACACCAAGAATTCTTAGCTTTCTTGAATAGATAATGTTAATTTGGGATATCAACAAGAAGAGAGTTCAATCGACAAATCTAGTTATAAAATCTAGTTATAAAATGATATACATTGCATAATAATAGAAATTTTCAAACTTTTGAATGCAGAGAGCATAAAAAATTAAATTGTGAAATTTTAAGACCGTTACAAGAATTATTGTGAAATTTTACTGTAACAGATTAAACTGATACTACACAGAAAAAAAATAAGTGTCAAAACTAATATACTTAAATAATATACTAACACGTTCATTGTTTCGTATATACGCAACAATTTATAATCTTCTTAGAAGAATTTAATAATTTTAAATTTCAACAATATTATAATCTTATTTTAATATTGTAATTGTCATCTCAAGAATATATAATTATTTAATTTTACTTTAAGAAAATTATAATCTTTGATTTAAAAATGTTATTTTCTATCTAACATTGTTTCTTTTCCATTCAAGAAAATTAAATCTTAAATCATAAGAATATATTTTTCTTGATTGAACTATATAAAATGGTTTCATTCAAGTAAGCAATTATTTAAGCAATTATATTTTACTTTAATTGACGCAATATAATCTCATTTCAAGATTTCCATATTAAAACTATATATTTTAACAGAATGTCCTTTTTTTTTGTGTAGAATTTTTTCTTCATTTGATATTAATACCTTTTTAAGGATGTTTTGTACCTATTTTCAAAATATTGAGAATTTAATAAAAATTGTACAGAATGTCCTTACATATGTTAAGAATCTTCAGTACAATTTTTAAATCGATTCACTAAAGCGTTCACAAGTTACAAGGATTTTAATTTGCACCGAATTAACATGTGTTCTTATAGGAAACGTATAACCACGTCGATTCAAATGACAAAAACACATGGAAATAATATTCAGAATTTGTTTAAAATTTGCAAAAGATACAGAGGAAATATTTGGTCAAATGATATTATACAAGTACTAACTGGTTAAAAAGATATTAAATATAATTAGGGCGAAATTCTCTGTCAAAAGTTAATAATTTCGATAAAATTCGGAATATTTCGGTAAAAACGCAATAAATATTAAAAAATACAAAATTTTTGCGCTGTAGTTAAGATCAAATTGTAATATTCCACAAATTCTTACTCAAAATACACCAAAAGTGGATATACTCGTCAATATTGATCTTCAGCTACTTTTTGCTGAGATTGTACATACAAAACATCTCCTTAATACCTTTTTAATAGCGAAATTATTTTCAGCTAATTTTTTTATTACATCGTATTTTTAAAGTTTTCCCCATGTAATTTTCTGTGTGATGCTTTACATTTAGGGATACGGGTTTCATTTCATACTATCAAATCTATTCGATCCATTTGCTAGTAAGATCAAACGAGTTGGAAAATGAAGGATAGATCAAGCGGGATGTTCGAGTAAACGTGCAAAAGGTGGTACGCTTCATCGGCAGTAGCAATGAACCTGTAATATAGCGTTGCTCTGTAAACTGATGAGAATCCGCGTTTGTTAGCCTACGCTTCTACAAACGCGTTGCAACGCGTGCGTGCGCCTTGATCTAAATTGCAATTTTTCATTAAACGCGACCGCGGCCGATGTACGTAAATAATATATATATATATATACGTATATACAGAAGAGGAAATGCATAAATATATTAAAATATACACCCGGGCTTTGGCTAGACTTACTTGTGTACAAGAGATCTTCACCTATGCGGTAGTGGAGAAGACGAGGAGAAGATAGTTCGGACAGATAGACACATATAGAGAGTTAGTTAAAGAGTTTTGCTTGCGGATCTCGTGTTCTGTGATGAGCCCGCGTGCTTGTTTCCCGTATGCGAATTCGCGTAACATATATGCGTGTACGTGTGTACTTAGAGACGTTTAATGCGACCGCTTATGTGCGTGTTCCGTCGTGTATTCATGAGTACGCGAGATGGAAGTGTATGCGTGACTCGAATGAGCGATGCAAGTAGCTTGCGAATTTGCGTAAATTAGTTGACATCTGTGTTCTTTTACGCGCGCATCGCTCACGTGTACTCGTCTACTCTAACATCGTGAAGACTGTGTGGTGCCAGCAAAAACCGATTTGCTTCCAAAAGGGGACCGGAAAAAAAAAGAAACAATAGCATGGCAATCGGAGTAACGGGCTGTCACCAACGTTTCATTGATCTTCGCGTTGGTGGCGAATCGAATCGTCCGCGAAGCTGCTCCGATGGCCAACAATTTTTTTATGGCGTAGAACACCCGTCGATATGCACGTGACAGTGCGTTATTGCCGTCAATCCAATAGTATGACGTTAGTCTGGATTGACTAATAACGCGAAAAAGGAATGACGTTCACGCGTTCGAAGGGTGTTCTGCGTAGATTTTCGTAACACATAGGCACTCCATACCCAGCATGATTAACATTCATAATTGTTACGTCATTTGTTCTATAATATCGAGAATATCCGAGAAATACAGAAACATATACAACGACGTTTATGAATTTTTCGGTATCAACGCGAGTATTTCTATTACAGAACGAATAAAAATCCATGTAATAAAGGGCTAGTACTAAAGTATCTCTAAAATGATACGTCGAGTCATTAGATATCGAACACCGATGCAAGATTAATTGAAGATAATTTTACAACTCAAGGCAGTCACATCACGCCGGTTCTCAATTGAATTAATTTCATAATTCACTCACAACAATTACCATTGAGTAACATTGACAAACTTTCAGGAAAACTACATTCAAAACGACACTGATAGTAGTGTAATCTCGGTTGCAAAATAATTAAGAACATCACACCAATAGGGACTCAAACACTAACGATGTTCTACGCTGGAGCCACTTATTAATTTGAACGAATTTTAACAGATTAGCACAACGACACTAATTTTGTGATTAAAACTTAATACAAGTAAGAATTGAATAAATGTATATATCTTGTATTAAAATCATAAAAATCTCTATAATGTGTTTCGCACGTTGTGCTAGTCTCGATGTGAACATGTAAATAATAATTTTTTGTCCGATAATATATCATTTACAACTGTGCAAAGAATTTATCGGCAAAATAGGTTTTGATGAGAAACAAATTTATTAATTATTCGAAAAAGATGAATAATAAAAATTTATGATTAAGTTGATAAAATATCAGTACAATTATTAACTTATTTAATTATTTAATTTAAGTTATGAATATATATATATTGGACTTTTTTATATAATCGTCAAGATTTCATGAAATTATTTTAAGATATAGTATAACTTCGTTTCACGTTTCAAATTAGAAAATTTTGCTTTTTAAATTTTATATTCGTCAAATTAAAAAAATATTATTATACGAAACTACTATAAACATGACCTTTGAGTCGAACTTGATATAAAAATAATAATCCAATGATATATTAACATTCGGTACAGTTAATATGATAATACGTCATCATTATTTTCATCATTAGTTCGAAGTAATTAATTCGTATCATAGATTTATTAGCAATTTTTCGTTTCTATATTAATCGAGTGCTTACACATTGCATATCGTTTACGAAAATAAAGAAAATAAAATACTTTTCTTACTATTAATAAAAATTATAATTATAATAATTTTGTTAATAAAAAAATGGAAATTTCTTCGAGTAAAGGTCATGCCACACTATTAAAATATTATAATCTATCTTTTCCTTTCTTTTGCAATCACACCCCGTGTTCGATGAATTTTATTTCGTATAAATCTCCGTATCGGGATTAAGATAGAAAAATGACATTTGGTACACAGTCTACACACGATACGTACTTGCTCTTCCAACCATCTGAACAGCTCGCACGCCTTTCCGGAATGTGGCCACTGCCCGAAGGGAGGAGAACCAGAGCTGTTAGTTGTCACACCAAAACAATGTCAACCTAGATGCGGGGGTTTCAACGGATATGGGATATCTAAATCCGTGGTTCCGATCGATATGTCACGTTTAGTACTCAGTGCTACTTATCTCTATCAGGATCGGGTTATGAAAAATTTTTATACTTTCTCTACTCTACGATTCGCCCTCTCTTAATCGACATTAATTTTCCATATATATATAACCAATATCTCTCTCAATAATTATATTTAATAAATTGGCTTCTAAATCATACGTATGCAATATTCAGTTTATATAAAAATCGCTAGAAATAAACTCTGAAAAAATCTAGCGAGAGAAAAAAGAGAGAGAGGATATCACGGGCGCGTCACCGATTTGATTACGAATACATTCCCGTTTTTCCGTAAAATATCGTTGTGGTTGACTGCAACGTGACCTTCGATGGAGAGATTTATTATTAACACTGGTGTTACAACTATTGCATAATTTACTTCGGCCTACTGTGAGGGTCGTAACATATAGAGATTATATATCTGCGCTGTGCAGGTTGAGCCTCGTATTCGGGGATATCTCATATCGAAAAAATCGCTTTCTCAAAAGTCAATATCGGTTTGCAGAGTGTCGGCGTTATTGTTGTGATGTTGGTGAGTGGTGTCAAATATGCTCGGATATGTGAGGTGGAAATGAGATATTTTTAGCCAACGTGTGTTCGATAAACCCTGGGCATCGATTATCATCGTCCCTGTAAGCTGTATAAGCTCATGGTAAGCTTACGTCTTGGTGCTTTTTCTGGTTGCGTGCTGAATCCAATTAATCACCCGGCGCGCACTTAGCGACATTGAAACTATATTACGAAAACGGAATTCACGTGTACACGATCAATATTGTACTTGATAACGCACTGCCATAGTTTCTTTCCTGGCTATTAAAATATTTTCAGGTTAAAAATAAGAAAAAGGAATGTATAACAACATGTATGTAACAATACTCCGAACTTCTTAAGTAATATCCAATGTGCTGTCAAAAATTTGATATAAATTATATGTGAAATGGTTCTAAATACCCTTCTAGTTGCAAAAATATTCATAAACGTATATTCGAACAATGGCACAAGATTCTCACAAGGGATGGACCTCTGCAACCATAATCTACTTTTGTAATCAATTGCAATTAGCGTATTAAATTAGATAAAAATTAATGGAAAAATTAATGAACTTAAAAGTTTTACTGCAATAGCTTGATTCACAACAATTAATTATATAATTTATTACGCAAATAGCACAATGAAAAGAAACGTTTCTCGGGAAAGTCAATTTACGTGTATTAAAAAGATTATTAATATATTTAAAAGATTATAAAAGATTTGCTGATAATTATATGCTGATATTAATATATGCTCGTAAAAGTCCAAATATTCATAATTTTACAATAATTTTTAGAACGACAACTTTCACGAAAAACGCTCAATATGTGCAAAAACACAATGCATACTTTTAGTATTAATTATATAAGGTGACCCAAAATAATAATATTCATTGCGTTCAATATACGTTATAAATATGAAAAAAAATGTCACGCGTATATGAAATATATTAGGTAACCTTATATAGAGATGCATCCCAGTTTCAAATTGTCACAATCATTATTTCGATGCAAACACGTTGTGGCGAAAGAAAGAAGGGGACTTTCGTGCACGATATATAACATGCGTGATAATTTGAAACTGGTGTGATGTATAAATTATTAATAAAAGTCCATGTAAGCACACTGAAACAACAGTTAAGAACGATAATTAGCAAGCCTGAAATACGATATGAGCAAACCCGTCGATTGGTGTTAGGTGGCAGGCCATTTAACGTTAGTGAGGACACAAAGTATACGATTCGGGATAACGTGCAAAAATGCGTTTCTGCGCGGAAGCGACCATTGTATAATATTATGTGATGTACGAAGCTAAACATTACAACAATGAATTCATCAATTTGCCGTCCATTTTTTCGTCCAACCGGCGTGCTTGTTACTCGGCCTCGGCCCATGTGTCGAAGAAGAGGAAGAAGCGGCCAACAATGTTAGTGCTACATAACGTAACTGTATGCTGCTATTAGAGGGCGATAACTCGTTCAATGCCATTTCAGCTCTAGCAAAAGCTCAACGATAAACAGTACGAATTGAACGGATTCAAGTGAAAGAGTATCGCATACGGGTATTGTGGAGTAAGTGCATGTGATAAGTAAGACGAGTAGTCCTCGTCGGTCTGGCTCTTACATGTTTGTATCACTTACACCATCTTACCTCATACATGTTACATGTTAGGCCCACCTGGTTCTGCCGAACGCGACAATTTTTTCATCATCGCAGATAAAATATTAAGCGATGCTTATGCAAATTATTGATAGTATTTTGAGTACGCGAGTAGAAAGAATATCGAGTCTGGCAGAACGTATTTTGTCAGAATAACGAACGGAATAAATAGGAGATGTGTATTAACAATAATTAAACATTTTTAGATTATTTTTCAGAAATTCGATCATTTCAAAGAATCGATTTACGTATGCATTCGTTTATACTGACAAAATTCTCGCAAAAGCTGCGACAAGTGCATATGCATGTATGGGAACAGGATGGAACAGGAAGCCGGAAACAGGCATACCGTCGAGGTAACTGCTGTAGGCAGTGTTTCCCTTCACCATGCCGGTCTGCATCATCATCATCCCCACATCTGTAAAAATCCAGCCATCGACCCGGACACGGGTTCATGAGTAAAATGAACACACATCGTATATACATGGGGGGAAAACGTGAACAGCTGGTATTCACGAAGCATTCTTTTGATAATAACAGAAAATTTTGCGAAATTCGTATGTGAACGTACGCGAATAGAATGAATCGCATGTACTTTTATACAGAACAAATACGGAACGAAATATCAGATATATCACTAATCGCCAGAAAATACTTGACAATATTATTCAGAAAATTCAGTAAGTATAATTTCATAAGTAAAATTTACATTCAATTTTCTTTCAATAGGTACACAATTACTCCATAGCTGATGTTACAATAAAATAAACAATGACATGATAGAAAATTAATGATATCGCGTCCACGTACGAATTTGACGGCATTAATCACAATATGTATGTATAACTATAAATAGATACATCCAAAGGGTATCTGAAAAAAAAACAAAAAATAAGCTCACTCATCGGAACGAATTACCTTCGACAAGTTTTTCCTCCGTCACACCACCTGATTCTTGTAAAACCTAAAACGAATGGATTAACGTCGCAACCGATTGACCGATTGCAGGTCACTCGAGTGAGATACGGGTACCGGGAACAACGTTGATTGCCCAGGGTTTAGGGTATTACCGTTCCCGAATGCGGAGACAAGACTGATCGTGATTGAGCGGTAAGTCGCTCTATACTCATGGGAGACTTATGTGGATACATGTAGTTGTGTGTATGTGGTTGTGTACGAGTGTACGGACCCGATGCGGTATGTCGCATGTGACATGGACGGAACTGTGAGACGACCCGGGGAACTCTACCCGATGTGCCTGAACGATACGACGAGGTTTCGTCGTTCGTGGGAACGAATGGGAAACGCTCCACCGTCGTCTGCGCACCACCGGACGGCCCAATTTCACGGCGATTCGAGAACGAGAGACGTCCGGCGAACGTGAATGCGAAGATACGCGACTCGATCGCGGCCGATCGGGCCGATCGATCGGCGAGGAATCTCCACGATAACACAGCTAGCACGTTGAGAAACAGAGAAAGATAGAGAAAGGAAGAGCGAACAGACAGAGAGAAAGCTGGCACACGATCGAAGGGGGTTGTTTCGGAGAAAACGGAGACAGCGAGATAGAGAGAGGATGAAGACAGACAGTGACTGAGAAAGAAGCTGTCATTACCATTATGGCGTTAACGGGTCCAAATCCGAGAGCTAGTCATGCATGCAAGGCGAGCGAGGGGGGAGGGGGGGGGAGAGTATACACTAGTTAGTGCAGGCTAATTTTCGTTCTCGGTCAGGTGGACATGCGCCAACTGACTGGACTATCGGGAATTACATGTTGAGTCGATACTTCATTTTTCACGTCATTTATCGCGGGATTGAAACGCGAACGCATTTCCTCGATGCGAAGTAAGTTGATCACATTCAACGTGTTGTGCGACGCTTCTCGAATGACGGATACGCGATAAATTTTCCATTTTATCATCTTGGATGCACTGGTATGAGCGAGAATATCAGTTGCTGAGGGACAAGATCTCGATAAATTTTTCTTGAGGAATAAACGACATGAAAAACGAAGAAGTACTCGATCGTCACACCATCTTGGGAATTGTATCTTGCAATAATGATTAAAGATGCAATTGTTATATATTGATTATTATCACATGATAATCATCCTCATAATTATCACCTTGGTTTGCAAGAGATTGATTAATATGGGAGGCATATGTGTACCGATAAGACACTGAGAGAGATAGACAAAGAGAAAGAGAGAGAGAGATAGAGAGATAGAGAGAGATAGAGAGAGATAGAGAGAGAGAGAGAGAGAGAGAGAGAGAGAAAAAGAAAGAGAGAAATCAAGAAAGGGAATAAGTTATATATATATAACAGAAGGAAGTAATAGATAATGTCGCAAGGCGCGAAAAACAGAATTTTAATACAGAGGCACAATCAAATGATTATGAGCAGCGAGCCATTAGTTGATGTTTGGCGAGTGAAGGGGTTGGATCAAGAGCCAAGATCATATATAAAATAGATAAGAGATAAAAATAAGAGATAGTTACAGATGATAGTAAAGTACCAGACTTATAACGAACGAATGTGAGAGACGTTACCTAAGTCCCGGCCCCAGGAGCGCTGCTGCTGCCCCACTAGATCATATATCACAATAGGATGGTCACAACCGTGTCACTTCGTTAATAGTCGCATTTATTACTGTTATCGCGCTCTCAAACGGAGTAAAAGGGGTAATGGGGGTAAACCGGCAGAAACCGGAGTGTGAGGGAGGGGGGGAAGAAGAGATAAAGAGAGCTTTTCCTACGTGATCCGTTTCGCATTTATACGTTATTTTACATGTCGAGACGATTTATTAATTTTGCGAGTCACACCGGTGGCAATGCAACAGTCCATCGATATCGATCGACAGAAAGAACGGGTAGAGATAAACCGCGTGTGAGACTCGCAATGCTATTGATAGATCGAGCGCGTTCTATGTACATCTGTGTACAATTATATGTCAGATATATAAACATATGTATATAACAACCGGCGAGAGAGAAGATCGAATGTTATTAGGCAGAAAATTTGGCAAGAATCGTAAAAGACTGTTGTAAAGGATCACTGGGCTAGAAAGACTTACAATTTTTGCACTTGCACTTCTTGATCAGAGTCTCGTCTTTAATATCATCGTGGCATGCTTTGCAATAGAACCACGCCCTGAAAATAAACAAAACAAGAACCGCTAGTCATGCGAATTATAAAGAAAGATATCACTTAAGTTTTTATTTAGTCAATAGAAAATAAAATTGAAATATATAATATTTACGAAAGAAAGTAACAGATTAATTTCATGACATTTAATATAATTAAAAAGCACACGACAGAGGTACATTACTCGTTACATTATATTATAGAAGATTACAAAGTTACTTTAAAATTACTCTAAATTATATTACATCTAAATTATTGTTGCATATTAGCATAGAAAATATCTTCATTACTCGAATATGTTTCATTTGCTTTACATCAACAAGTAATGAAACTAAATATTGACTAAATAAACTCTTAATTTAATAATAACAATTATTAAATGATAAAAATGGTAAAAATAAAACTCAAGCATAGTAATTAGAATATAAGAAATAAACAATTCTTTTCTTGTGTTCTAATTATGCCTTGGCTTTTATTTGCCATTTTGATTATTTAATAATTGTTATTACTTTGAGCCAATTTTTACGATTATTTTTGTTTTAATAATGTTTCAAAATATATTCTTACCGTTTTACTTCGTCAGCAGATTGAGCAATGAAGAATCCCTGAGTATTTGCAGCGATCTTGGCACCACGTGGATTAATCGAGATTTTACTGTCGGAGCCTCCTTCGCCCTTTATTTCGATGGCCAGTAGTAACAGCTTCAGTTTCGTGAAGCATAACCTACGATGAAGTCATGCATAATATTTGATCAAGTATATTAATTATATATCAAGCTAACAGAGAGTCTGCGTACATTTTGCTTGATACATTTTTGTATGACATTTTGTGTGTGACGATATATACGAAAAACAGCTATTGATAAGCAAATAGAAATATCGCAAAGATAAATATCATTGATAATGAGTTGTGTATAAGTAGATATAATAATGTGCAATAATCTGAATGGCATTCTGTGTGTAATATAAAAATTTTACAGCGAAATAAAATATTAATCATAATATATGTACAGTCATAATAATAATAATAATAATAATCAATCATAATATATAATCTACAAGTAATATCAAGAGTATAAATTTTATAATACAAATTATTGTTAAAAAATAGGAGATAAGGAATAGAACTACTTGAGAAACTCAACTCAGTATCGTATGCGTTAGGCAAACAATGCAAAAGTTGGATTCGTAAAGATAAGAACTTTTGTTTTTCATATGAAACCATTTTTGTTAAAGTTAAAGAAAATAAAGGAAATATTTTGTATAAAAAAATTATATACAATTTTCACTTATATATGAATATCTTTATACGAATACAAGTTTCGTTCTTTGCAGGAAAATATATATTAAATGCAAACGTGGCATATAAAGTATTTTTATCAGATTATATTAGATTATATTTGATTCCACATGAGATAAAATGCGTAATACATAAAAAATGAGGCAAATAAAAATAATTAAACTAATGTGCTTATTTATTATTCATAATTTGTACCATATAAAACATTACTTCAAAAGATACTAAGATATCTAAAAATGACGACCATTATTTAATATTTTATTTTACCTAATTTGGAGTTCTCATACTTTATAAACTTCGTTTAGCATTATTAATTGACGAATATGTGTTAGTAAAATATGTGTATGTACACATCTACAACATGATGCATAACGGGATATTGTTTACTAACAAGAGATAAACTTACTTCAAATATAAAAATATTTAAATTTACATCATTCATTTATTTAAAAAATTATAAATTTCAAATATATTATAAATATATATAAACAACATTCCGTTATATTATCTCAGTGATAACATTGAATTTTCATTAAACAATCATGCAAACAATGCAACATATATTGATGAATTAATTCCAAGCGATCATGCAGGAAAGTCTTACATAAAGGCGTTCATTACTTATCTAATAATACGAGCTGAAGCATGCCAAGATATATCGAAAGTTTCTATCGCTCTCTATAGGCTATCTATTACGCTCTAAGTTCCTAATCTAGTTCAAAGTTCCAGAAGGCATTCAAGAGATCCGATCTTATCCATGTAAGGATTCAACAGATTAACTAACATTCGACAAACATTTTATATATACGATTGTATATATATATATATATAATATACGGTGTAAAAGATAATAAAAGTATTCGTATTGTATTTAATGTGAAGATCACTTTTTAAAATAGATTTCTCACACACACAAACCAAATAATGGCGATAATCCAAGTGTGCGCATAACAAGAGAAAACTCGAAAGAATTATATAGCTCTCTGTTTCGTGAATGATGCAATTCTGACCTCTGTACATTGACTGAAATATATCGCTAAAAAATTCTATCTGTAAAGATATTATTTTTATTTACAAATATTTTTACGATTTTTTTATTGATTTAATAAATGTTTTGTTTAATAAATATGTAATTACCGCTTATTCTCTACATACGTACAATTTAAAATTTTTTTACAATTAATTATCAAATACAAAATCCATATCACATTAAAATCAATAATTACTGTCAAAATTTGTAAATTTTCAAAGGCTTATACAAAAGCTATCGCTAGTGCGATATTTTTATAAACAAAAGTGCTGACAATTTTTCATAATTAATCAGAAAATAACAAGATTTAAAAATTACAGAGATCAATAATGCAATCTTGATAGGCGAATATGGTGCAATTCAGACGGTTGAGAAAGGATATTGAATAAACGGCGCATTTACTTTGCCTTTAGAATTTTTTCATGATTTTCTTAATCGTAAAATTATATTTTCAATGATAAATGTGTTAAGTGTTCTGAATAATAATGGATATTATAATGATATTTACCATAATTTTGTCGAAGTTTAAGAAATATATTATCTATCTTAACTATATGTATATATTTTTTTTAACTTAATGTTTTCTTTATAATATTTAATTTTTACTGCAAAAATTCATTCGTATTGAAATGAAATATGGCACGGTATTGACGTGCTTGTTGTCTTATAAATACATATTTTCTAATTAAATTAATTTTAATTTTGCATATAATATTTAACACACAGTGATTTGCAATCGGAATAAAATAAATAATTATGTACGGATTAAAACATGGAAATGAAATGTTTCTACATTTGTTTTTATAGTGAATACTTTAGCACAACTCTCATTTTTGTATTAAGATCCGCGGAAATAAAAATATTCCTCTCGATAAAAATTAATAATCTGTGCTAGTTCTTTCTTAAAAAAATATCTATATAAATATTTTATTTTTTTATACTTTATAGATCTCTTAATTATAAGATAGCCACATGATTAATTGATTACAAGTCCCTATGTCTTTAATGTGTGTGTGTCTCATGATCAGCGAGCAGATATCTATATAATATATTAGTGTTCGCAGAAAGCGATTTACCCCCTAATATTTTCGCAAAGACAAAACTGCGAGCTCGATTATAAAGTCTGTTAACAAACAATGCTTACTAATACATATTTAATCGGCAGAACTACGATCGATATCCACTCGTACATTTGTCCAATAACCTGTGTTACCAATGTGTTACCAAAATAAGTTTCACATACTCTTACATGATAAAGAGCAGCAGACATGCGTGTACAAAGAACGCGTTTTTGTTAAAAGAAGATTAAAACGCTACATCTAAGAACACACACCATGACAAGGATATGGATATATATATTATTGATAAAAAAGACAAAAATCTTGCCCGTTACGTCTTATGGTCAAAAATATTTATATAAAAAAATATTCGAAAAATATAGAATTTTGTCTCTTCGATAAAATCAAAATTTGAAAAAAAGACACGGTACGCTTCTTTCTCATTTCGTCTCACGTTGCGCCGTAAAAAAGAACTGTGACATAATCGAAGCGAAATGCACGACTTATTGGGGCGAATGCGGATTTTGCAACGATTCTTGCACGCGCATTTTATCACAACTAGTTGAAACTTACAAGAACAACTGCAAGTCACGATATTGTGCGCGAGTCAATTTAAGATTAAAATCCTCAAGGTCGTTAAATTAACTCATATCCGTGGCATTTAATGTATACATTTCATGCAAACTTTGTAATTTGTCACTTCATTACTTTTCACAATGGTTTGCACGCGATATGAAATAATCGTAAAAGGATAGACAATCGATCGAATAGTACAAAAAAAAAGAAAAGAAAAAAAAATAAGAAAAAGAAGTTGTTGAAAAACAGAGAAAAAAATGTGTACGGGTTGCGTAAACGAATCAAGCTGTGAAAGGATTAAGCACCGCGCAATTTCAATCTCGATATCAATTGTTCCGTAAAATGGTATCGGAGATATGGGGACGCTATCGTTTCTGTGGTCTCGATACGGTCGTTAAAATTGTTCCCGATAGAAACATTTTCGGAAGCGTGCTTATTCGCACGCAAATCGTGTGCGCTGGTATGCGATTTCCAGCAATTTCCGCGACCCGAAACGTTTAAAACACTTTCGTTTCCGCAAACCGGATTCCCCGGTCGCCAATCAAGCGATTCAATTATACCGAGCACGATCGGTTTCGGTTTTTGGCGCGCGACAAAGTCCGCATTCGTCCGTCATTACGTTTCTCTACTTTATTTCTACGCAATTCACAAAGATCTGTGCAGAATTTCGAGCTCGAAAATCAAAATCAAAAATGATTGAAAAAAATGGTCGGGGCACGATCAAACGGAGGCAAAGAGAGAGAAAAAGTAAATGGATTTGTACAGCTCAAAACTGGACTACTCTACGCAAAATCCAAACAAAAAGAGATAGACAAAGAGTATAATAGAGAGACCAGTAAAGAAAAAAATCGATTAGAGATTGAAAAGATCAAGGTGAGAGGGCGATATGTATATATATATATATATATATATATATATATATATATATATATATAAGTTCTCATAAATATGTTGTAATATAATATATGTATAAAGTATGTTTTTTTCGGTATCACAAAATAGTTCAATGTATTTAATAATTCGTGAGACGCGAAGATATGAGACAAAGAGAGAAAAAGAGATAGAAGGAAAAGAAATTTGTATAATCGAATGTATTATATTGTATGTAATATCGCTTTTTCTTCATATAAATATTGTATGTGATAGTCCGTATAATTGTCAATGTACATGTATGTCGCGTGACTGGCGTGAGTATCTGTTCGGTACGTTTATGTGTGTAACAGCCATTGGCAGCGAGAACTTACTCGCTGGCTTGGGGAAATGTCATCCCGGTAAAGGACGGGGAGAGGGTTTCCGTGTACATCTCGCAGCCCGTGCCCTGCAGGTAATCATTCTGCCATGCCTGTGTGTCCGGCGACTGAAACACCAATCAACCAAGCCCGACGTCATCATACTTTCATGATCTACGCGCGAGACCTTCCTCACAACGAAAAGTAGCAGCTACATGGACGAGCTGCTACTCTTCCCGGAGGAGATTGTAATGGAATGTTTTTTATCTTTTGTTTCCTAAGGGCAAAAAAAAAATAATTGTTTGTCTAAAAGATTTGCCTGGAGCGTTAATCTTAGTCTTCAAAACAATTTAATTCTGTAAAAAAATTTGATTAGGTTCTTTTTTCTGTATTCTATAAGTCGGATCCTGAGGTCCAGACATCACAAAAGTATTAAAAAATATCTACAAGATTTTCCTTTGATATATCTCTTAGAGACATTCTTGTATTTTTTATACATGTGTTGCCAGAAATCATTTCTCCGAGACAGAATGTAAGCATTGGGAAACGCCCTAATGTCGAATGGCGTAATCTGCATTATGTTGACGCACGACGATCATGTACGATGATGTATCTCGCAATTATAGCGACCGACAGGAGAGTAAGAGTTATCTTCCGAAACGAACGACCAACGGTAATGATCAAATTCCTGAAGCTGTAATTCCAGAGGCGAGCACTTCTCATACTCACTCACACTCACTCTATAGCTGTACGTGGGCATGCATTCAAATTTCTTGCAAATTCTGTTTTTTTTCCCATCAATCTCAACGATTCATCGATTAATCGAAGCCCCTCTTTCTCGTATTTTTCTGTTATTAAACGTTTGTATGCAAATTCTTCGCAATCATTTATTCTTGCGATAATCCTTCCACATGGCATATTAGCAGAGTTCTAATGTATGCTAAGAGAAAATATTCTTTCATTAAATATGAAAGATGATAAAAACGATAGATCTTAGATTTATTTCTCGAGCTATCTATTTTTCTAAGTGAAGAAGCAAGACAATAACGTTTCAAAAGTAGATTCATGGTATATTATTATCGAGATACTTCTGGCATTAACTTGTCATAATTTGTAAAAATAATTAAGGAACGTAATTATGTTGAACATAATTATTAAAGCAAAATTTACAGTTTTTGCAAATTCTGTTTCTTCCCATCAATCTCAACGATTCATCGATTAATCGAAGCCTGAATCTTTCTCGTATATTCTATTGTTAAACGTTTGTATGCAAATTCTTCGCAGTTATTTATTCTTGCGATAATCCTTCCACATGGCATATTAGCAGAGTTCTAATGTATGCTAAGAGAAAATATTCTTTCATTAAATATGAAAGATGATAAAAACGATAGACCTTAGATTTATTTCTCGAGTTATCTATTTTTCTAAATGAAGAAGCAAGACAATAACGTTTCAAAAGTAGATTCATGGTATATTATTATCGAGATACTTCTGGCATTAACTTGTCATAATTTGTAAAAATAATTAAGGAACGTAATTATGTTGAACATAATTATTAAAGTAAAATTTACAGTTTTTGCAAATTCTGTTTCTTCCCATCAATCTCAACGATTCGTCGATTAATCGAAACCTGAATCTTTCTCGTATTTTTTTGTTGTTAAACGTTTGTATGCAAATTTTTCGCAGTTATTTATTCTTGCGATAATCCTTCCACATGGCATATTAGCAGAGTTCTAATGTATGCTAAGAGAAAATATTCTTTCATTAAATATGAAAGATGATAAAAACGATAGACCTTAGATTTATTTCTCGAGCTATCTATTTTTCTAAGTGAAGAAGCAAGACAATAACGTTTCAAAAGTAGATTCATGGTATATTATTATCGAGATACTTCTGGCATTAACTTGTCATAATTTGTAAAAATAATTAAGGAACGTAATTATGTTGAACATAATTATTAAAGTAAAATTTACAGTTTTTGCAAATTCTGTTTCTTCCCATCAATCTCAACGATTCGTCGATTAATCGAAACCTGAATCTTTCTCGTATTTTTTTGTTGTTAAACGTTTGTATGCAAATTTTTCGCATTTATTTATTCTTGCGATAATCCTTCCACATGGCTTATTAGCAGAGTTTTAATATATGCTAAGAGAAAATATTCTTTCATTAAATATGAAAGATGATAAAAACGATAGACCTTAGATTTATTTCTCGAGCTATCTATTTTTCTAAGTGAAGAAGCAAGACAATAACGTTTCAAAAGTAGATTCATGGTATATTTTTATCGAGATACTTCTGGCATTAACTTGTCATAATTTGTAAAAATAATTAAGGAACGTAATTATGTTGAACATAATTATTAAAGTAAAATTTACAGTTTTTGCAAATTCTGTTTCTTCCCATCAATCTCAACGATTCGTCGATTAATCGAAACCTGAATCTTTCTCGTATTTTTTTGTTGTTAAACGTTTGTATGCAAATTCTTCGCAGTTATTTATTCTTGCGGTAATCCTTCCACATGGCATATTAGCAGAGTTCTAATATATGCTAAGAAAAAATATTCTTTCATTAAATATGAAAGATGATAAAAACGATAGATCTTAGGTTTATTTCTCGAGCTATCTATTTTTCTAAGTGAAGAAGCAAGACAATAACGTTTCAAAAGTAGATTCATGGTATATTTTTATCGAGATACTTCTGGCATTAACTTGTCATAATTTGTAAAAATAATTAAGGAACGTAATTATGTTGAACATAATTATTAAAGTAAAATTTACAGTTTTTGCAAATTCTGTTTCTTCCCATCAATCTCAACGATTCGTCGATTAATCGAAACCTGAATCTTTCTCGTATTTTTTTGTTGTTAAACGTTTGTATGCAAATTCTTCGCAGTTATTTATTCTTGCGATAATCCTTCCACATGGCATATTAGCAGAGTTCTAATGTATGCTAAGAGAAAATATTCTTTCATTAAATATGAAAGATGATAAAAACGATAGACCTTAGATTTATTTCTCGAGCTATCTATTTTTCTAAGTGAAGAAGCAAGACAATAACGTTTCAAAAGTAGATTCATGGTATATTTTTATCGAGATACTTCTGGCATTAACTTGTCATAATTTGTAAAAATAATTAAGAAATTTAATTATGTTTGGACATAATTATTAAAGTAAAATATACAGTTTAAAAAAAAATATTATCTACTTAATTTCTATTTTAAAAAGCGCTTTTAAAAAGTTGTACGTTGTTCCAGCTTTTCATTTGTACAAAATTGTTGTACAGAAGCCGAAAATACGAATCGTATGTTTGTGTATTTCACAGAACATTTTTGTCAAGTTCACGATGACAATAAACACGTTGCTGTGGAACTGACAATAAAACTCAAATCAAAGGATTGCCCTACGAATTCAGCAACTTCACTGATGATCCACTGGTATTTACTCCGAACGTTCGTCCATCACTACACCAGATTGATGAAAGTTTCTAGTTTGTTCTCTCTAGACTAGAAACTTGAAAACAAGAATCGGATAAAAAAAAACTCGCGAATGCTCTACGAGTCCAAAAGCTCTCCTCTCTAACAAGATCGAGTCGCACCATCGTCGTTCCTCTTATCATTCGTTTACTGTTAATTAATTGTTATTGTTACAACTCTTTCAAAGTTACATGTATATATCAATTGCAGAGAAGGGTGAAAATATAGATACGTTACTGAAGCGATGAAGGGGTGGTTTACATCGATTAGGTGTAGCACAGATATGGTTTTATACAATATAATAGACACATTTATGTATCATATTACAATATGTATATACATATACATATATGTATATACATATTATAATATGTATATACATATATGTATATATGCACGGAGATTCGCTCCGTGTATATACATATGTATATTTATATGCATATACACACACACATATATATATATGTATATATATATATATATATATATATATATATATATGTATGTATGTGTGTGTATATATATAAAGGGTGTTCCATTTTAACTTTCACACTCGAATATCTCGAAATCATGGCGGTTTTGGTGAAAACGTTTTGAACAAAAGTTATATAGTTCTAAGAGAGTCATAAAATGGTGCATTGGTTTTACCTTGAAAAGTCGATTGAAGGCCATGTGAAAGTCATCTTCAATTTTTTAAATAAAATCCCCGATTTTTTATTACTTACTCTTGTAGCTTATCTCGAGAATTTTCCAAAACACTATAATAAAGTATTTCTTCAGTGAGTACTTTTCGAGTTATGAGGCTTGAAATAATTTCTTAATTTTACATAAACCATAAAATATCTAGTAAAATATTCATTTTTCAATTATCTTATCTTAATACTTTTATGTACAAAATAATGAGAGGTATCAATTGATGTAAAGAAAAAACATAATTGTTTTTAAGAAAAAAAATGTAATTTGCAATTAACGATTACATTTTTTTGCTTAAAAACAACTGTATGTTTTCTTTACACCAATTGATTCCTCTCATTATTTTGTACATAGAAGTATTAGGGTAAGATAATCGAAAAATGAATATTTTACTAGATATTTTATGGTTTATGTAAAATTAAGAAATTATTTCAAGACTCATAACTCGAAAAGTACTTAATGAAAAAAATATTAAATTATAGTGTTTTGGAAAGCTCTCGAGGCAAACTACAAAAATATGCAAAAATATATAGGGTGTCCTATTTAAAAAGTTGGAGGTGATCTTCACGTAATCTTCAAACGACTTTTCAAGGTAAAACCAATGACACCATTTTATGATCCTCCTTAAGATCATACAACTTTTGTTTAAAACATTTTCACCGAAACCATGGTTTCGAGATATTCAAGTGTGAAAGTTAAAATGAGACACCCTGTATATATAGTGTATATGTGCATATACTTACATATGTATATACGTTTACGTATACAGCGGAGTGGAGCGTAGTGAGAGACATAGGCGAGGCGAAGCTTCATCCCTTTTTTTTGCCTTCCGATTCAAGAGACTACGGACCTTCTCCGAATGTCGATTTTGTCGTAAATGTAATCGTAACATGAATATAATAGACGCGCAAAGCATGACTGAGAAATATAGATGGCAATGATTTTCCAGCGAGTTTCACTATTCTTACTCAAAAAAAATTCCTCTCGCTCGAAATTTTCCCTAGACAACAGGATTAAACGCGATGAAAACCACAAGAGTTTTGTTCATGTCTTACAAGAAAGAGTAGAAGAGTTATCCATTTTCCATAAATTTCTTGCACGACGTAAGTCGAATGAATTAAATTATTTTTAATTGTCTATTGAAATAAATTAAACTTTGCTTTCTGCAGTTATAATATTAAAATAACTTGATATGTGCTAAAGGCCTTTTTGTTTGATTTTAAACCTAAATTCCTGAATCGTCTATTAAGAGAGATTCAATACACCAGGAATTTTTTTAAATATAATATTCTCGGAAGGTAGATATACGTTTAATAAAACAAAAAAAATTGCTATAATGTCAATCTATTAATTAAGATTATAAACACGGACGCATCAGTTTCTCTCAAATTCGAATCTAGTTAAATAACGTTTTTTGCTAATGTGACTTGTGCGTTTTTGCAGGATTATCGTCTATGCCTGTCTCCTGATTATTATTACATCGGTAAAATTGATCACACTTTATTTCGTTGTGCTTGTTATATTATTCAAACCGAAAATTAATTGTTTAATTTATTTATAAATCTTTCCAGTATATACTTGATAAGGACCACAACCATATGGTCGAAACGTCGTATTAATAAACAATTTTCTGGCTAGTTTGGTCGACTACATTTTTTTCAACGATCCTTGGATTATCTGACTAGCGACATAAAGTTATTTTATTAATTTCAAGATTATAAAAGCTAAATAAAGTTTGTATTTGTTCTGTAAAATTTATTTTTTTTTCTTTATCTTACATTTAAAAAAATGATATTAATTACCATCTCAATGTCATTATACGATAATTGTGCAGAAATATCTTTTCTACCATTGTTTAATTCATGATTGAAAAAGCAAAGTCTAATAAAAGACGATAAGGAGACTTAACTCATAAAACTATCTTATCTAAGTTTCTAATTTTGAATCCCTCTGCGACATAAAAGCGTAACATACAACGCAAAAAGTCCATAAAAATAGCGGGAGACCAAGTCCCCTACTTTTTCTCGTTAGACGACAAAATCGATCGCCATGCCACGTGTTCGCTACGTCACTCTGGCTGAAGAAGCATGAAAATAATCACACACGCGCCACAACACTATTATCGACACGGAATTAGCGTTTGTTTCGATACATTTCCATACATCACCCGATCGCGGTTTACCTCGTAACCGCGCACCAAGAAAGAAACAACATCATGGAGAATACACGAGAAAGCGCAAACACGAGAGATCAAACAGGGAAGAGCAATGGCGATCGAGCGATGGACATTGCCAATGCTGGTCCCGTCTCTTGAATCAGATATACGCGTATCTGCTGGATGTTGGATTAGTCCATGGACCGACTTACTCAGTAGCTTTCGCAAAGGGCATTCCAATGAAGGTAGGGCTCAGTTTCTCGGTGTACATCTCCATTCCGGTTCCACGCAGGTAGTCATTCTGCCAATCCTGCATATCGGGCGACTGGTACCAATCAACCAACCATTTCTAAATCACACGCTCCTATGCATGTACGGATTGTGCGCGTATGTCCACAGTGAGGTGCTCGTGTCCGACTATTTCCGGACGTGTCACAATATGACATGACGCGACGCGTAAGTTTCGAGTTGCTTCTGCATTTGCATTTGCATTTCAACGACCGTGCATATTGATCAAGTGCAAGGGAATTTAGCGATTTGCACGAATTACGAGACGAAAATTTGTTAGAAATTATTTCATCAGATTATGGAGATATTTGTCAAAGAAAATTTTGGTGCACTCGAATCCGAGTGATCGCAAGATCTCGATTTCGCGAAAAATACGACGACGTTATTTTTCCTTTTTCTTTTTTTTTTTTTGTACGCGATCACTGTGAACAGCCTGATCGTAACAAAGACCTATACGAGGAATTGCGTTCAGACATGCATAGATTAAATGGCAGGTGGACTGCCGAATAACGACGATTTACTGACCGTCTTAAAAGAACGCATCGCAAAGAGATTGGCCATCATTGTGCTGAAACCAGGCGCGAGGCAAGATTGTGCGATGAAACCTAGTTTCAACTCCGCCAGGCATATGACATCGTCACCCTGCTTCCAATCCCACGATGGAATGTTTAGTAAGTAGGCCTGGAACATATGATTTTTGATAGAAGGAATAAAAAATAGTCATCGATAAAAATGTACATGGTGTCCCGAAAATCATAATCAATCTTTCAGATTCCTGAAATCATCTGAAGACGATTTTTCCTCAACGAAAATGTTGAGGCACTAATAATTTTCGAATTATAAGTGATTGGAAATAAGAGGTTTTTCGTAAACTAAGTTTTGTAGAAATAAAATATTAACAAAATCACATTCTTCGATTAATCTTAAATAGAGTTTACTTTAGTTAAGTTTTAATTTAAGGCTTAATTGCAAAGATATATGTTGACAAAAACTGGGAACATGCAAAAAATGATGGCCTTCATCATTTTTGTTGAGGAAAAATCGTCTCCAAATGATCCCAGGAGTCTGTCTTTGAAAGATTGATTATGAGTTTTGGGACACCCTGTATATATTGTGTTGCAACGCAACAAGAGAATATTTAACCCTCGGAAACAGACACACAAAAATCAAAGACAATTCTCGATAAACAAATTTTAGACAAAACTTATTGTCAACATTTCCGCTTTGCTTAGAACAGAATTTATTTCGGAGCAACATCTCGATAATGGTTACCTTGTTGTGATACTGCATTAATTGAATGATAACGCGAATGTCATCCGAGTAGTTCTTGATGGAGATGACGCGCATGATGTTCGCCGCGTCTTCCGCGTCCGGATCCTGACAGTATTTGTTCGCCAGTACCAAACACGCGTCCGCTTCATGTACCTAAAAATCGGGATAATCCATTTCGTGTCGTCCGTTACTTCATTCTAACGTTGATTAATAGATAGGAAAAATGTATATTGGGCAGGACGTTGGTCTCAAAGCGATAGCAAAATAGAGATTCTTCTCTGCGCGTGTATTCGAAGATAGAATAGAGCAGAAAAGAGTAAAAAATACTAATTAATTAATCAATAAAATCGTATTTATTTCAGAGACAAGCAACTATATGGAACGTATCTCGCGATCGTCGCCAGGAAATCAATATGATACGTGTAAGCTACAACTAAATCTACAAATCTATAATCTGTACTGGGAAAAATTATTTCTTCTCGCAATAAATATAATATACGGGTTTCTCAAATTGATAGAATTATAGAATGAATGGAAGACATTATTGTAGTGTGGAGATACAATAAAGTGTGAAACAGAATATTTCACGATGTAAAGAATACTATGGAAAAAATATTATGCATCTACAATATAAAAGTGATATGAAAGCATTCAATGAGACAACAATGACTACTTAATATCGAAGGTTCGCACGGCTAATAGAGTTGTTCGCTTGACGAAATGAACGAGGCAAATTAAGTTAGTCGAACTCATGAAAATTTATCGAGTTTGAATCCCATCAATTTACTTCATCTCTATACGCTTGATTTAATTACCAATTATTATTTATGTATATTAATAGACAAATAAATTTCAGGTTCATAATTGTCAGATACATTTAAAAACTGTCAATATTAAAATAAAAATTATTTTAACAATTTAAGTTAAAATTTCTACTTTAACAGAAAAAAGGAATATCGCAACCGAACAGCAATGTATACATTTTTTTTCAATTCCTTCGTGCGCAACTTCGACGCAGTCGCACGATTCGAATAATGATGAAAGTATAAAAGCGAGCCTCTACGACACATTCCTTGGATATGCAAACCTTATCGATCATCGGGAGAAGAGGTCGTTTCTAAGTCTATACATCTGAATAATGGAGAAGCGCCTCTATCTACATGCTAATCTATTGGCTAACAAGACTTGGCATTAACCTCGATGTGTAAAAAAAACTATACAAACAGTCAAGAAGAACGTACCGTCTCGTCTTCGTCAGTGCAGGATCGATACGCTAACAGAGATATCACGATTGACTATCCCATATATATATATATATATATTAGATATTAAAATTCTCTAACAAATACTATCGTCTGAAAAGTAATTGTCTGGTAAACCAATCTCTCCACGAGAGAAACACGGGCACTTACCCATTTGGGTCGATGCAGGCATGGATCTATCCGGTGGATGCAATACAACCTTAAAGGGACTTTTCTCACATAAATGGCTATGCATAAATGTCCGTGTGTGTACGTGTCTACGTGTCTATGTAGGAAAAATTGATGTTGCTTTCCTCTCGGATTTGTTGCCGGGTATGTATAGATAGAAAGAAGGGACGAGATAGACGGAAAGATAAATAGATTGATAGATAGATAGATAGATAGATAGATAGATAGATAAACAGAGGCTATTAGATTGGGGTGACGTTATCGAAGCGAGCATAGGACTGAATAACGAGTTTTGGTCATGGGGTTCTCAGGTCTGCATTCCCAATTTTTTTTTTAAAAACCTCACGGATAATTGATCGAATTCGAAACTAGCTATCGCAAATTGACGAGACACGAAAGCATATAGAGACTCCGATAGGAGTATCATATGACATCGTCAATGTATATATGAGTATAAAGGGAGACATACAGGCAACAAACATCCTAGAATAACAGCGTTTGTTATCGGCACAATGTCAGTTCTCGAACGATCTACCGATCGCCCACGGTAACAGCTGTAAAGTCGCTCATCAATTTTTTTCTAACGCGAATACAAATTATGTAATCCCCTCCATCGCACCTGTAATGTGTATAAATATTGTTTTAAATTTAAAAAGAAATTAGTTTTTAAATCTTCATAAGAATAAAGAATTTATATGTATACACAATAAGAGAGAACATATATGTACGTTGCATATGCATAAATATTTTATACACTGAGAAAAAAATCTGGTTGCATTAATTAGAATTCTGGTAGATTCAACTAGTATGTCTGTTGGAAAATGGACGAACCAGAATTCTTGTAGGAATTACCAGATGAATCTGATTAATTTCTTCCTGTCAAATTTACCAAATTTTCTGATTAATAAACTAATACTAAACTCGCCAGCACCGAGTCGCCTAAAATTTTTTCCATTTAATCTCAAAAGTCTGTTTAATATTCTAAATTCCAACAAGATTATTGGATAAATTCAATCCAGATTATTGAATAAATTCGGTTTGTTAGAAATTAAACTGATAAACAGTGATGCAAGAAGAAGATGCAGCTCAAACGCACACAATCAGAGAGCTAGCGTCCTCTTTCTGGCACTACTGCTCGTAAAAGAAAAAAAATATATTTTGCATAACGTTAATACTAGTTTTTTATATACATTTTATGACAAATATTGAATACGAGTTAAGAGAATAAGCAAAGAAATTAATGTAACAAGAAATTTTAAAGATCCAACCAGAAAATACTAACCAAATCCTTATAGTAAAATCTATTAAACGTTCTAGTTATAAAAAATCGAGTCTTGTCATGATAACTAGAAATTCTTGTTTGATTTAATCAAAATGCCTTCAATCATATACGTCTTGTTGGTACAATCAAATGATTTTTCTCAGTGTATATATATATATATATATATACACTGAGAAAAATCATTTGATTGTACCAACAAGACGTATATGATTGAAGGCATTTTGTATATATATATATATGTAAAACGTACAAAAACGTTCATTTATTTAATTCTAATTTTGATAAAACATTTTTCTTTTCTCTATCAAAATTTACATTACAAGAAAAACTTGAAAGAAAAGATGTTAGAAAATTTTATGAAAAACAATGAGACGATAAACTTATAATATAATGTATAAAGTAGCAGAATTGAAATTTAAATTTTTTAGAATTCACAAATCTCAACATATTTAAAATAATTCTTATTCTAATTTAAATAAAATAATTCTAAGTATATTAATTATGCGACAATAAAAAGCTGATACCGTGTATGTCGAAATATGACGAGCCGATAATTAACAAATTGAACAAGTAGGAAAGGAAAATAGAAATATAATAAGAGTAAGGGGCAGACAATCCATTATATATATATATATATATATATATATATATATATATATATAAAAGTATATATATATATATGTGTGTGTGTGTGTGTATATATAAAGGGAAAGTTGTTAAATATGTATCATATATATGGGTTTATAACGCGCATATTTCTTGTATTGAGGAGGCAGATTGTTCGGTTGTGGTAATAACAAACTCACCTTAACCCGCTGTAGATCAATCGGGTTCATGATGGTCCCCTGAAAGAACTCCACGGTGGTGAAGTGCCGCTTGAATAGTCCTTCCAGTTCGAGATCTGGCGGTTTCCTGAACGGATCCGACAAAACGATACGATTCTTTTTATAAATAACATTCACCTCAGCTGTGGACGGGCGCCTTTTTTGCAAGAATATCGTCGAGTAGCGGGCCGACAAAATGGTCGGCGAAGAAACATTAAGAACGTAAATAAGTAATACAGATTTCATGGTTCACGTGCCCGTGGCCTTTGAGGGGAAACTTAAACATCATATCGCGTGTGTCATTAAATAACGCGTTCATCGAATTCGTCGATTCTAATCGAATACAATTGTACGCGATCACTCTCAAAGGAAACGGGAACGCTAAGGCGTATAATAATAAATTTCTAAATAAGTCTCTACTGCACGCTGAGTCGGCTCCATAGCTCAATACAGCATACCATGCAGTCGCAGGCGGTTGCTTTCTACGTAAATATAGATAGATACGTATGTATATCTTTCGGCCGTCCGGTGCCGCGTCGCTTTTGTATTCACGAAATGTATTCTCGAAAGCGTTACTTTACGGTCAGAGTGCCGTGAATTCTGATACAGTAAACTCGAATAAAAATGGAATTTCTGTCAATACGTGCATCGATGACAATTATGCCGCACCGAACGGTTCGACAGTTCGTGAACGAAAGAAGAGAGAGCAAAAGAGCGAAAAGAGAGAATAAATCTAAAGAATGTAGCGAACATTGGTATGATCCGCAGATGTATTCGTATACGCACGAATCACTCGCAAGGTTTGCGAGTTTCTATAAAAAATAATGCAATTATCAACATGAGACTGCATGACGTGTGACATAAAATATATGTAAATATAGATAATATATATATGCATTTGTAGAGAGAAAGAGAGATACATAAGTATATATATATCGATCGACCATCACACGGCGTGTTATACCCAGGCGAATAACCGTGTAATAACCTAAAGAACTGCAAGGAAACAAGAAGCGCGAGCGGCCACGGTGGAGGGCATTGATGGAGGGTTGGTTGATTGGTTGGTGAAGGTTTTCGTGTGTTGTTCTAGGGTTCAGGGTACCTTGACGCGCTCCAGATCCACGGCATTCATCATAGTGCCCTGAAAAAACTCCACGGTCGTGTAATGCCTCTTCAGAAGACCCTCCAATTCGAGATCCGGCTCTTTCCTGAAAACACAAACCACCCCTTACGACTATAGCGATCAGACTACACCAGCGACCGCGTGAGAAATGTGATCTTCTTCTTTGTTTATCCCCTTTAAGAGTCCATGTTATTGAACGTCAATGGAAAATCTCTGTTCGTAATTTGAAACGCTATTGGAATAACCAAGTTTTACGATCGATAAAAGACACGGAGCTAATGGAATCTGATCGCTTTGAGTCGCCTGGCGACAGAAAATCTCTCGATCGTCGAAGGGCGACGTATACTCACCACGAAGTCGCCAACATAAAAATAAAATATTATTCAATATAAAAGAAACTGTAAAGAAATATAAGATTACAGGACTTGAAAGAAATATAAACGATTGTATATTCTATTAGAATCAAATACACAAACCTCTATTTCCTGTAAAAAAAAATGCGTTTAATGTAAAAAAATTTAATACGAATGGTCATTATTCATCTGCGTCAATCGATAACACGGATGAATTAGCGATTTGAAAATGAATGTGTGCGTATGTATGAAATAAAATTCGCATGAAATATATTCACGTCAAGTGATAATCCTTCCGAAACCATTCGTAATATTAGTCAATCGATAAATACAACTCGGTAAAGTCGCAAGGATTAAATCGACATCTGATACGAGTCGACAGAAATGTCAATTTTGATAAAAACACCGATCATACCTATGCAAGAAGACAACTTCTACGTCGACGTCCTCGCGATCCTCGTGTAAGAAATCCTTGAGAAAATGCGAGACCGATTCGTAGGTGATGTGGCCGCACACAACAATATGTCTGTCAACACAACGAACATATTAGATTACGTTCTTATCAGGGTGATATTAATAAGTGATATAGGAAAAGAAAGGGAAACTCTCAAGCAACTACTATATACACTCTATGTAATATATATTAACTCTGCAGATATATATATATAATTATATATAAGTCCTTCTCTTTCCAGCCACAACTTCAATTTATTTTCATTTATTTGTTTATCTGCGACATTACTGCTTGACTTTGTATTATGATTTTTTCTATAATTGTTTATAATTCGACATTGAGAATGAACCGGTATAGGTTCAAAACGTGCGTTTGTTACTTATGCGAATCTTCGATGTAACTTTTGATGACGACTTTCAGTCTGCTAATTTTTGCAATAATAATATTCTTTTAATTTGATTATAATTTTTAGCTTTTTTACATTTACGATCTACATCCATGCAATTATTCGATTCATTATGATCTCACGCTGATAAGTCAATTTAATACATTTTTGCTACGTTCAACTTGGCGCAGTGGTTATTGCCTTTGTATTTTTAATTTAATTTTTGATTGTTATCTTCAACCACTCTTTTTATAATTTTAATTTTAATTTTTTCCTCTGCTGAATAAGCTTTTCATCGAATACTTCTCAAGATGTATATCGTAAAATAGATAAATGGCGGGAAAAGAGAAGAACGAACATTATGTGATGCCGATAGAAAATCAAATTATATTTTTTTCTCTTCGTGCCATTTTAGTCTGCTGCCACAGTGAGATTAAAAATCTTCATTTTACTTTCTCAAATTACATTATATATATATATATATATATATATATATATATAATTAGTTATTTATTTCGATATATGTAACTTTAAAAAAAGAAATAAGAAATAAATCGATATTACTTTAAATTTGCGTTTTTCAAGAAAAATTCGAACAATCTTGAAATCGATTGACAGTTGAGCTTATTTAAAAAATAACTTAAGCAATATTATTCATTGAAAATAATAAAAAATAATAAAAATTATTTGGCACTTGAATAATACGCGAACTGTGCGAATACCTGTGAAATAAATAACAGATCAATGGGAGTTAAACTTACCACAAAATTGCGCTAGGAATTGGAGTGATTTATTTTAACCATTTAACATGAATAACTGTACACATACACACACCCATACACACACACACATACCTATATACATGATAAATTAGTAGCGCTAAATATACGATATACATAGGTTAATGCTGACAAGTGTCTGGTCAAATACGCATGAGTGCAGGCTCATTCGTGTATTAGTTATTGCAATACGTCAAGCACAAAAGTCTCTTCTACAAGTGTGTAATCTCTACGTGCTGCGTGTATATATGTATATATATACATATTAATAGTGACGTATTTTTCTATTTCTAGAAATGCCACCGTAACAGGTAAGACTGGTGGTGCCTAAAGATAATCAGCAGACTTGCAGAGGAAAAATAGCAGAGTTCGACCGTGATCATTCCATGCTTAATGTCTTCTACCCGGTGACATTAGACTCCATCGTGAACTCAGTTTTGCCTCATCGTGCAATTCTCTTTATTACGCGTAACAAAACATCTTTCTCATAAAGAGAGGTCGCGCGACAGGTGCTACTGAATCCGATACGAGTCCAATGTCCATTGTTAAGATTATTTTCACACTAATATACGGACCTGACGCCATGTACGTGTCGAATGTGAGTGTCGTGGATGTGAAGAGTTGTTTTACAAGTCGTTTATGTGTCAACCGTTACAAAAGCTGAGTCGGATTAAGAAAACGCAGGGATGTGTGTCGCGAATCTATCACAAATCGGATGCGCGCGTTGTTTGAGGAAAATCGAACGCTCGTATAATTCTGTGTGTTTGTTTCTTTTTTTTTTTGCCGTAATATGAAATTATTCACGTAAGCGTGTCTGCCGGATATTCCGATATCGATATGCCTATATGCGCTCAGACTATTTAATTATCTATTAATACTATTAATACTTCGCTAGATCAAATTAATCCATTAAACCAGTATCTGACGAGCCGCCCTATTGAAAGTTAAAATGATTAATATTAATAAAATATTAATGATAGAAACGGCACGCAATATACAGATGATAAAATTCATAAGAGACAATGAAAAATGATAACGTTAATTGATCCGAGCGAAAGATTTATCATATTCAGCAACAAAGCTCTTCCTTACTATCATACGCAAATATACGCGAGTAATTTTCTATCGACCGTGGACACATGTGATTGTATTCGAAATAAAGTGCTTGAACAATAATGCGATCAGCAGCAGTGTTGTTGTTGTGTAGCTTCCATCTTACGAAAGATCACAGCCATATTTGCATTATTTATGAATGACAGTTGAACTGAAAAAAAGATCTGCCATTCTAGAACTATGTCGTTTCGGCCCACTGAGGATGTCCTCAACCAGAATCCCTGAGCTTATGTATGACCAGCAATCTCTTAGTGTCATTTAAAATATCTTCTTTTCCTTTCCCCTTTTTAAGGTTTACGAATACATAAAAAAATTAATCTCATTATTACATATTGTCTAAAACATCCAGATTATTACATTGAAGAGGTACAACATTAGGTTATAAAGTATGTATATATATAATATATGCATTCTCAATATTCGGATAATGCAGGGTACATGCTGGGCATTAATTCCCTTGCACTTGGAGAAAAATACAGCTCGAGAAATATATCAAGGCGCGCGATGTGATAGTAAGTTAACGACAATAAAATCATTCGGCCGTGACATCTTTCTATCGAATAATTAACTCAAGACTCGTTATACGAATTTACAGGCCGCGGTTTATTAGTACGATGCACAATTGTTCGCTCGACGCGAAGTTGTCGCATATACATTGACAGCGAATTACGTTATCTGTGTTTCGCCTCAATTTAGATTCCCCCGAGGTTCACGGTCGACACAATGATTACGATGTTAATTAATTAATGGAAGCGACCAAGCGAACGAAATTGATCCGGACAATGCGGAATTTGTTAAAATCCGTTCTAGATTCGTGCGATTTATTGACGTTCAAACATGAACGCAATGAAATGTCTCGCGTAACATTTACGATCAACGAAGTATCTTGAAATGGACTATGCAGGGTGTCACTTAAGTGGCGCCCACTATTTATATAGCGTATTCCTCATGGAAAACTGAGTCGAAAAGTCCTGAATCATTTTTTTCTATAATGCTTAATAAAGCGGTAATTATTGAGTAAAGTTGCGCCAATAAGCACCGATCTTTAGCCTCCTTGACGAAATTTTCTTTAAGAAAACGCTTTTAACGGAAGAAACATGATTTTTAATGCAAAATAAAGTTTTTCGCATTATAGAAGAAAAAAATGGTTTCCAAAAAAAATGATTTCAAAAAAAATGGTTTCAAATTTTTTTCATTATAGAAAAAAATGGTTCAGAACTTTTCGACTCACTTTTCCACGAGGAATATCGCTATATAAATAGTGGGCGCCAATTAAGTGACACCCTGTATATGTATATATAGAAGATTCGTATAATATTCACTCGTTTTACATTTTACGTTTTACATTTTATGCGTGTGTCAAACACGATAAGCTGTATTTGTCCCAAGTGCGATCGGTGTGAACAAACAAGCTAACACCAGTTGCTGGGTGTGGTAAGTAGGTCCGTGGTGGCAGACGGACTGATTGGTTTATTGAGGGGTTTTTGCTGATAGGCTAGTGTGTGTTGTTGAGGAATGTTTTTGGGGCAGCGGCTGCACTAAGGCCGGCTGACAACTAGTGCAATGAGCTGGTATGGAACTGCGGTTTTGCGATGCTAACACTGATCTCTAAAATATATATATATATATTTATAGACTTATAAGAAGGATTTGTCGGATCAGAAAGGGGCTTCTTGATGGGGATTAATGTTTGTACGTGCTTCTATTGGAAAATTGCATTCACAGGAGACATGGAAAGTCGGAAAAGAAACTATCGTGTACGTATGTGTACGTGTATGAAAAAAAAAGTGTACAGAATATCAGGTGTAAATGCTAGAGGGCTGGGAAAATGAAAATGGAAATTATATTACATTTCGTATACAAGAGGATATTGTAGATATGAGGGTGGGGCTCAAATCAAGGAAGCTAATTGGTTGGTTGTGTCTCTCACCTGCGACCTCGCTCGTTCTTCAAAGTGCCGCCATACTTGTTTCGCGTCCCGATCAGGTCAATTATCTCAGGGATACAACTGGCGAATATGGCCTACACCACGTAATAGAACAGAACACAACACTCGCATCAATACATTTGTGTGACAGGATTGGTAGTAGAATTTACTTTCGTTTGTTTCTTTTTCTCTTTTACGTATCTTGTTTGATCGGTCGATTCTAATTTTTCTGTAATATCGTATTTTTCTGATGTGTCGTGATGTTTTGGGTCGTTAATAATCGCCATACCCGAAAGGTATGCAAGAATCGCTTCTTTCTTTTCATTCTCGTGACTTAAGTAACAAAGGGGGAAAATACTTGCATTTATGAAAAAACTCTGAGACTCTTTGGCTCGACTACCGAGTTACCCAACTGTTCATAAAAAGACGATTGTCAATGCTGTATCACTGTGTGCGTTACCTCTTCGCGAAATAGTGATGTTTAGAAACGAAACATGTCCCAAATAAAAGGACAAGGTAGGCCCACACCTATCCACACAGATCCTATATTTACAGATCCTACACTTAGACCTAACGAATTCTACATGTGTCGACACGTTTATTTAATCCATTGGTAGAGCTACTTGTATCCACGCTCTTTAGTAATAGTATATTATTTTCGTAATATTAATCGCATGTCATCCTGTCATTTTTAACAAAAAAAAGATCTTCTTTGCTTCAATAGTGGTCCAATTATATCTTCGAAATCTTTATCGTTGTTTTTATTTTTTTTTCTGGAAAATAAACTCTGTTCCTAATTTATCCTATCTTTTAAATTATTCTACATTTATCTCTGTACAAAATACGTACGTACAGTTGATTTTTAAAAGAAATTAAGAGTTATATATTATGTGCACCTTAAACAGACCTTGTTTTTGTGGTGTTCATGATACTTGGTGAAAAAATAAAAGACAGGTTTTTGAATATTTAGTTGAGGTTCAATTTGGGATATAAATTGAGTTTACGCATACACGGGAATAAATATCGAATTTTAAATATTGAATAAATAAAGGAAATTCACCCCTTTCCCTACATATAATATAAATATCGAATTTTAAATATCGAATAAATAAAGGGGAAATTCTCCCCTTTCCCTATATAATATAAATATTAGGCAGGAGTTTATTTTTTTTGAATAAATATTTTGAATATTAGAAAAATCATGAAATTGTCAAACATTTCTGAAATATGTTATTTTGTTTAAGAGAATAAAATAGTGAAAATATTACATTCATATGTGATCACATTCATAATATTACAGTATTATATAATTCGTAGGATTCTAATAATCTGGGATATTAAAATTTGAATTAATATTCAAAATCAAAACCGTTTTTCATTGTCAAACCACATTAAATTATTTTTGTAGATGCCTTACATACACATTTAAATAAATAAATTGTATATTATTTATTTAAATTAATTAAATTATTATATATATAATTAATTTAGATCCATCTCTATCAAATTATAAAATAATGTTTTGAGTTTGCAGTATTTTATCCTTTTGTTTTCATCGATCCATTTTAACGCAGTGAAGCGAATAAAGGAAACGAATGAACGGAATAAAGGGCCGAACTCGTATTAGAAATTTAGTTAAAGAGCTTGTTAGAGTGCCTGGTTAATGTTAATCACTCGTTCACACCAGCTCACGATACAATCGACACAAGACATAATATATACGGAATATATATATATGTGTATTTTCAAAATCGTGAAGAAAAATTTATTTATTTACATAACGACAAAGCTATGCTACAGCACACACATTAATGTCGATCTCTTTCTTCCTTCTCTCGAAAGCAAGTGTATGATACACTCGTCACATTTTTGTATGAATATATCGGGAATACGTGATATGAAAATATATTTCCTTCAAGCGTATCCTGAAATGCTGAAAACTTATCCGCAAAGATCATCGATGGACTATTCAGACAAAATTAAATATAACACATTTTACAACAGTTTTATCCTTTTTATTACCTGCTATTAAAGAATATTATTTTCTTGCTGAGCAGTAATAATAATAATAATACACTGAGGGAAAAATTATCTTGAAACAAAAAAATTTTAGTTACCTCAAGAAAGCTATTTATTCGGTGGGTACTAATCACGTATTTACTTGTATTTAAAACGTCTGTTTGATTAAGTTAAGTATTTATTTACATATGTTTAAAAATATATATATACTTAAAAAAATTTAATTTTTAATTAAATATTTTAATTTTAATTTTACAAAATATTTATTAAAATGCATTTTTTATTCCGAAAAATTTTAAATTTTTTAATTTTAAAAAATAATATATTTAATTTAACAAATTATAGTATATATTTTACGAAAATAGTATTGAAATATAAAAAATATATAAATGAAAATAATGTACTTAATATAACATGCATATTTAATTAAAATTAAATGCTTTTGCTTAAGTGAAATAAACAATTCCTTCGATTTAGAGCAAAAGTTTCAAGAAAACAAATTTATTTGATTCAAAAAAATTTTTCCCTCAGTGTAATAATACTAGAAATAAAAATGCGCGCATCTGCCGAACGAGGAAACTGTAATCGCGAAAAGCGGTGCGTCTGCGGCAACGAAGTCTGTGAGCGCGTAATTGCATTATAATCCATTGCCAAATTGATTGGAGCGGCTATAATATTTTTCGCCGAAATAGATTTCGCGTTTTGCGGTAATGTTTCTCGATACATCGATCTATACGTGTAAATGTGCTACTCCCATTTCTCGATTTGTGGCCATATGTGGTGATGCACGTAGCGTGTTAACGGGGTGATTGGCGAGATTGTAATGTTCCGAGCGGGTATATATATCCCTATCGTCGATCGCCACGAATCCACGCGTGCGTTATACGCGTGTACACACGCATATATGATTATGCAGGACGATCGCCCCATACGTTTCCTCTGTATGCGCCTGCACGTGTCGCGAATACGTTACCCGCGTGTCATATGGAATGATGTGAGGTATGCTCGATGTGACCCAAGCTAAACTACCTGTGTGTCCCAACAGTGGGATCGTGAGTCGGCGCTTCACGGCGAATGGCGGCAAGACGGGCGTAGATTCGATCAATTTTTCATTCGCGCGTCTCGGTCAAAAGGTCATAGACGCTTCATTCCCTGCTACGCTCTCTCGATATTTTTATATAGTACTACCAATAACGAAATTCGGACAAGGTGACGTGCATCGATATCAAATCTATTATTATACACTACTGTTTATTATTCTACAAGTTAAATAGCTTGAATTAAAAGACACGGGAAAAGCCGCAAAATTGTATCCACCTTTAAAAATAGAAATTTATCCTCAAATTTCATTTTTCACTTTTCTGTACTATTAAAAAAATATGATATCGATATATATATAAAATAAAAATTGAATTTTCCATTCCGTTTATTCGTTCGATTTTCAAGACTTTCGAATGACAGATTTCATATGACAATCTCATATATGTACGATTCTCAAGAAGATACAGTCGAATATTCCCCATGATTGATTTTCGTTAGAAATACCGCCTTCGCCGGGTTACGTTACTCAACGTCGTATGTGAATACAGCGTCGTGTGTCGCAGTCAGACGTGCAATTTCTACTGATAAAACCGCTAAAGAGCGGCCGTATGTGCCTACGTCTGCACCCGCTACTGCTGCGCTATTTCAAATGCCAAAAATCGTGTCAAGCCAAGAGAAAAATCGCGGTTGAACCGGAGATGATCGCCCTCCTCGCTCGAGGGAAGGTTGTTCTCTCTCTCTAAAGGCCATTCCGCACTGGGGAGGAGAGGATTGATCGCCTTTTGACAATCTACAGACTAACCAGAACACTATCGCATGCCACCAAGAAAGTGTGGAAAAAGAGAGAGAGAGAGAGAGAGAGAGAGCGGAATAGATAGATAAATAGATAGATGGGTAGATAGATAAAGAGAGAGAAGGAACGAGAGAGAAAGTGATAGAAAGAGAAAGAGAAAAAAGAAAAGTATCCATGGTTTGCTGGCACTCTCTTCTAGGATATCAATTTCGCCGAGCATGATTAAATTTCCTTCACTCATGAGAAAAGTAGTATTCTTTCATCTCTAATGTCACGCTTTGACAATTCCTATTTTGAAGATATTAAATATAATCTTAAAAATAGAAGCGTGCCGATCAATTCGTCGAGAAGTATCAGCATTATCCGCAACTCGCTGCTTCACGGCTGTTTCCGCGCAAATTTGATTAATTGACATCTATGATAGATAATTGGAATATTTATATATTATATTCAACGTGAAACGCAGTATAAGAGCATTCACCCTAAATACGATAAACAAATATTTATTCATCGAGCAAATATCATTACGATAATTATTTAAATACAATTAATTACGTATAATTATTTAAATAAATTATAGTCATTTAATAAAATTATTTTTATAGAGGGAAGTATAATATTTAAAATAGGTGGGAAGAGAGAGTTTAAAAAAATCAAAATTGCCTGCCTAAAGCGACCAAAAAAAAATAGGATTTTCTGCATCGACTTGTAACTTGAACATTTTGAAGTCAAATACAACTCATACATTAATAAATTTAATATCATTCGCGCGTGCAGGAAAGATGATATTGTTATGTGACATTCATCATCAATATTAATTCGAATAATGCAATATACGTGTAATGGGAAAATAAATAAAATGGCGCGCACTAGTATGCCAGTGAGCGAGCGTTAGCTAATCTACACGGTAACTAGATTACCGAGATACATTATGCACGCAATGTAAGTCAACTTTCCGCACCTAGGTAACCAATCTACCTTTAATCTCGTTATAACAAAAAGGCAAACCGGTGCATCCGATATGAAATATATGTGCATATCATTATAAACGTAGAACGCCAATAATAGAAACAAAATAATACATGATGAAAAAGTAAATATAATTTAGTGTGTCCAAAAGAGAATTTCGTATGGGTATCCCGAGATATCCAGAAATGAAATAATCATTAATTAATAAGGGGGGAATGAGAGAACGAACTACTTTTCGTGTGATCGTGCAATCATATATACATATACATATAT